GAAGCTGGGTGGTCACCTGTCAAGATATGATTTAATGGGTTTTTAATTCAGAAGAGGATTGGACCATATGATCTACAACCTGGAGAATCAGAACTCCACATTATTCAAATTAAGCATGGGACATATGTGGCCTCAATAAAGAATTTTCTTTTAAATGCTTTAGTGACCTGCGCATGTATAATTTGCATTGTAATGATATCTGTCTATTTTCAGCAATGCTTACTTTTGAGCAAAGACTATAGAAAGATAAGGGAGCATTCTTCAAGTATCTGAAAGGATATACAGTAATACCTCTCAAATGGAAGCTTACTTTGTCTCATCCTACAGAGCAAGAGATAGAACAATGGATTTAAATTACTGAAAGGAAATTTCAGAGTGAAATCCAAAGAGAGCTGGGGAATTCCTCATCATTGGTCATATTAAAGCAGTGATTGGACAGCTCTCTAAAGCAAGCTTTGCCCCAGCATTTATTTCAGGTTCACAAGGATACCAGATATCTGCAGAAATGGGCCCATTTAATTATTTGCAGCATTTACAGAAAAAAGAGAACTTGCCCTTTTTGGTTAATAGATGAGCACAGAGCTTTCTTAATTTATAAGTATTCACCTTCTAGCCATCAAGAGTATTCTAACATGTTTTTTGGGTTGCATAACAACAAAAAATCCTGTGTGTCTGTTTATCCAGCCATCCAATCCATCTTAATTTTTTGTATTCCTATTATAGTGACTAGCCACAAAACTCCTATCCAGTTATGCATTTCAGCCACTACTGTAACATCCAGCCCTTCTGCACAGCTGCTTGTGCGAAAATATTCATTCCTTTAAAAACAGGACTTCTTCCAGAATCCCGTTAGCACAACTAATGCAGTTCATCATTTGGAGAAGGATAATTGAAACCATTTAGGCTGGGTTTAATATTTGTCCTGATATTGTTCATGAAGCTGTGAAACTATTAATAAAATAACTTGGGGGATTTAGTTTCCAACCTTTTCCAAACCTAAATATGACTCTATGTAATAGGCAGGCAGAGCAAATGCATGTGTACCCTTTTCTAGTTTATGAGATTAAGGAGCAAAACAGTGCATCTTTCTCTGTCCCGAAAATTCTTACATCCATTTAAGTAAATCTTTGGGAAAACAGATGTTTCACTGATTTTTGTGTACTGAGTTAATATTAGAATTTTCATGGTCCTATTGCAATTATAATTAACACTACAGAATGAAGCACTCATTAAAACCTTTTAGGCATTCCCTATCTTGCTTATTATGCCTCTACAAGCAGTAGAATGGTTGTTCACACATTATGTCATTATGTAGAAACATTCCTAAATGGCTCCCTCTTGGCCATCTAAGGGCTTAAAGCAGTGGTTCTCAACCTTTGTGTGACGGCGACCCCCGTCACACAAACGTTCTGCGCATGCGTGGCGCCGCCCCCATGCGCGGCGCGCATGCACGGCGCCGCCCCCTGAGGGGAGAAAATGGCGGATCGCCTTCTTTGGCGACCCCCGAAAAATGGTCGATCGACCCCAAATGGGGTCGCGACCCATAGGTTGAGAACCGCTGGCTTAAAGGGTCCTTTGAATGTCCACATAGGGCACAATGAGCTACATCTGTCCAGAAATTTCAGACAAGGACCCACTAAAAGGAAGGAAAAAAATGATATATGCATTAATATAAACTGCTTCCAGATAAGTGACTCCAAGCACTATCCAGTCACTGAAAATTAACCTTCCATCACTATTTAATATTTTAATTACTACCAACACATTTCCCAAAGTATTGAATTAAATTTGGTGCAATAAAATTTGTTATAAGCAGTATGAAAATATACAGTACTTTACATACGTTAGTTTTGTCTTCCTTCAATGCCATTGTCAATTTTCTATTCATATTAAATATGGAAATATATGCTAGTATTTACTTTTCTATCTGCATTGTTTCTTGCCAATTAAACAGAAATTTTGCAGAACATTTCTAGTATCATTATATTTTTTTCTAAAGAATTACACTTCTTTGATAACTACATTTTGTTTCTTACAATTAACCTTGGGAGAAAATGAACTACATTTTAATTAAGGCAAGATTAATGCCTTCTTGAATTTATGCTGGAAATCAACAAATTGAATATCCAGCAAATACGCTAATAGCTATGAAAAAAAGGGTAATCTTTGTTTTAACAATATTTCATAGTTTTATAATTACATTATAAGATAAAGAAAATGCTATTTGTACCAAAAAAAATTATCTCTGTTGAATATGTGAAAGGAGTTGGCTCACAGTTGTTTCTAGATGGTTCCCCCAATGCAACCTTAACTTCCATACTATCATTGTTCATATTATCATCTATAAAATCCCAAGTATCGTATTCTTAGTTGAAACTCCATATAGACTGTATTCACTCAGCATGCTTAACCAGATCAATTAATGATAGCAGCTATATCTACATAAAGTACTCTGTTCGCTTAGTGTTGAAACTGATGTATTTTTGTGGCTCAGCAAGTTATGAGTATTGGAAGTGTGGCTTCCGTGGCATTGATTGCTCAGGACCTCAGGACCCACTGACCATATGGGGCAGTGAGTATAATAGTTAAGTCTTTACTCTGCACCCATTACTCAGCCTGCTCTTAATCTATGACAGAGGTTGCCAATCCCCTGGCCACGGCCTACTACCAGGCCTTGCGCCTTTCAGAACTGGGCCGCAGAAGTACACATCCCCACTCGTGCAAGCAGTGGGTGAGAGTGTGTGTGTGTGCTCTATGTGTGCTCCATTTGCACAAACGGCAGGTGCGTGTGCTTGTTGCTTGTGCAAATGGAGCTGCGCACATGTTTGCCTCCACCATCCCCATCCCCTCCCCCTCCGCTGGTCTGCAAAGCTGAAAAGGTTTTGGAACTGAGATGAGACTCATAATTTCAGATTGCTCTGTTCTGCCTTTCTTCCAAATGTACATGCATGGAATCCTTGTTCTCTCCCAGGTAGGATGTAAACTTGGTGCTAAACTTGCCTATCTCTATAATGTACTGCCCCTTCCACATGATATGAAATGTTCCGAAGTCTTTTCAGAAAACATTTTCCTAGCCCTTAATTAATAAGTTAATAAGTTGGACAAGAAGACCTCCAAGATCCCTTCTAACTCTGTTATACTGTTATTCTGGTAACACAATACGCCAAACCTTGAATTATTGCATCTGTAGTCTTGAACCGTATTCTAAGTGGAGAGAACAGCCACTGGAGAAATGAATAATTTTAAGGGATACAGTAAATCTGGGAGGGAGGGGGAGAGAGAAGCGATCAAGACTGAAGAACATACCAGGAACGAGGTGAACTCTTTCACTTACTGTATCCTTCTTGGTAAGAAACCTTATAACAGGCAACACGGTACATATTCTACCAATGTGCAAGTGACAAGGCAGCTCCCTCAGGCAAATGAGTGTCAAAATTTTCTTTCCCTTTTCTCTAATTTCTTGATTTTCGAAAATCCTTGCTCTTCCCTTCGAACAATATGGATTTGTCTATTATTATCTCAGCATCCCATTGGATATACCACTGCCTCTAAGTTTTGCCACTTTAAATATATTACTATTGGACTCTCAGTTCCCCTTCAAATAACCAGTGGCAAAGTATTTATTTTAAATGCCTTTAACATAACAATTCTGCAACTCTGAGAGGAACCAGGGGTATACAGGCAGCCTCGTCAGGCCAATTCCAATAGCAACTAGTCATGCAACATCGGAACGGGGAGGCATGGATAATTATTTCATGCTGGGCAGTTGTCCATGTCTAGAGTAAGTAGCTCTGGCACATGCAGACATGCACATGCACTGATTTAGAATATAGGAAAAGAAGTATTTGTGATTCTCCCAAATCCATTCTCAAATATTAATATCTTTTTTTGCAATGTGTTAATGTTAAGGAATCAATTATTAAATTTCAATTGTATTCTTACTGGTTTTTTTTACTGAATTGCAGGCTTGGGATTGTTGCAAATTTGAATGCACAGCAATGTAAAAGTTACTTTAAGCCTTTCTTTGAAGGCCATTCCTGTAGTCGAAGTTCACCCCTGCTGAAAGATTGATTATAGATGTCTGCTGTAGCTTCAGCATACTTTGTACAAGTAATCAAATTTGACAAGATCAAACCAACATTCTCCATGTTCTCCGTGTTCCACGTCCTCTGTAAATGCACTTTTGAAATTTCAAGTACAAGTTCCTGGCAGATGTAAATGTCAATAGCTACTAACTTAAAATGTATTTATATACATGTCTTTTAACTTTAAATGATATGAATGAATCCATAATATAAAAACAATATAGTTTATCCATAATGCATTAGAAAAAAAAAAGAAAATTCTCATAAATTAGTCTAAAACGTCTGGAACTTTTACAACCTACAGGGAAGAAGAAATAAATGAAGATGAAAAAGATTCAGGAGAGGTAGGAGGTAGTAGTTTCCAAATAAATATGTTTTTTTTCTTTGACTGAAAACAAAAGTATTATGCCAGTCACATTCTCTCATGTTATATCTTTTTAGAGAAAATTCTGACATTTCATTCTGAAATCTGAACTTTATACTCACAGATTAATGACTAGAAAACCCAGTATTTATGCTTACAGTGGGTTTTACAAATATTAAAAAATAGGATGTTATTCCTCTATTAACATTACGTACAGCCTACTGGTAATTATGCAATGTCCATTCTTTTAAATGGGACCAGAAAAAATAACATTTTTACTATTTTATTTTAATATAGGAAATGAATATTTCCCTTTCACTATGAGTTCACGTTCCGAGTAAGATTGGAAGCAAAAAGACTATACAACCTTTCTAATTAAAACACATCAAACATTGCTTTATATTAAGCTATGATGTTGTGCCAACACCCCGTCCTCAAATGGTGTAATAATGCATCCTTTAGGTGACAGCCAGGAATTCCATTCTTTCTATTTATCTGATAGCAGAAGCTCAGCAAGGAGACACGCCATGTCCTTATCTATTTCTTTTCTCTTTTCACAGGGAGCTTCATTTTAATGCTACTTATGGCAGGTTCCATCAAACTTTTTATCACAGCACAGAGCTCATACTGAAGTATATTAAGTCGTTTGTTTCTTTATAAAGCTGAGCCCTATATATGCGTATAAATGCCCCGACCAAACAGGCCACGTCGGACTGGTGCTTCAATTTGCTGTGCTTTCATGGCATTCAGTCTATCTTCTTGACTTGGGAAGGTGTCAAGATGGCGAGCAATCTTCTGAAATTTTGGCATGTGCCATTGTGAATCTACCTTCATAGGGATTTGATATTTATTCAACATTGTCATGCGGGTCTCGTGTGTTTTCTCTCGTTTTTTCAAATGTTTCTTCTGCTTACGGTGCATGTCAGCTTTCCGACGCTCTTGCAGCCACTGGTCACCAAACTTATGTTGAAGGATCTCTGTTATGGGTGTAGGAGGAGGATATGGCTTCCCATATGTCATAGCATCGGGAAGACGAAGTGCAGCTTTGGGGAAGGTTTTGGCAGCAGTCGTTTTGCAGTGAAGCTCATGGTGCTGACAATATAGATGGTGTTCTTTTGCAGTGAAAAGACCAGCCTTAATTCCCTTACTATGCATGTGAATAAAATCTTTGGGTATTTCTTTCCTTTTGATAACACGAGGTGGCATAACCTGCCAGTGCCCTATGGCTTCAGGGACTCCTCCATCAATCCCACGCACACTTAGGCCATATACAAAATTGGCTCCTGGAATCTTTGCGCACCTTCTGCGGGTCCTTCCTAGCTCTGGCTTTAAGATAAGGGGGTTCTGGAACATGCTATCTCTGACAAGCCCAATTCTTTCATTTTCTGTCCCTGGTTGAATATTAGCTTTGGTCAGTGGCAAAAGCGGTGGTGGACAAATGTCACTAACACTAGCCCTCTTGTGTAATTTCTCAAGGTACCTTTTCACAAATGTACTCATTGCTGATCACCACAGTAAAATTGATGCTTCTGCTTTCAGATCTGTCTTCACAAATATTTGATCCAAGTGTCTATAGCTGAGTATAGCATGAAGTGTGACATCATAAACTATGCAAAAGTTATTGTTTGCAATTTACCATGTCATCAAGCCTGATTCATAACTTCTAAGTAAAAATAACACATGTCTGTTAGCCAGTAAAAATAACACATCTCATATAAACCTTAGAGAGTGGAAGGGAGCCCATAATCAAGCTAAAGAACCACAGGAAGCCATTTTATTTCATGTTCATTAAAAAAAAAGATTTATTAATTCTGTTTCTGGGGGAAAGGATCCTTTGTCTCTAGATTTTTTTTATACCTTCTAACTTTTGCACAGGTAAACTCCATAGTCAGTGCTAATGCCCACTGGCTTCAAATATATATAGTATACTCTATGTATCTCAAATATCTGAAAGCCCATCGGATAGAAGGGATTTATAACTATAGTCCTATTATGTTGTCTACATTTTCCTCCACTTTGTTGATTTAAAAAAAGCTGAATAGATCAGACTCTTGGATCACCTAAACCAGCATTACCCCTCAAACAGTCTTCAAGAACTCAGCTGAGGGCACCATATTAAGAAACAATGATTTGAATTAAAGCTATTGAGAGCAAATTAAATCAGACACCAATAAAATAGAAATACAAATGTGAATAAAAAATATCTATAAATGTTCATGTTAATGATTTAAGCAATCTAGTTTTTGAAATCCAGTATACAGTTATAAAATAATTAATTGTAATAGCATAAATATGACACCTTAAAAACCATTTCAGTTTTTTAAACCATATGCTTCCAAGTCAAATATGCCCTATAAGATCTGAAGTCCAGGGAAAAAAAGGAAATCAGCATATACAATTTTCTGCTTGACTACATTTTGTTCTTCAATTCAAATAGCATATTTAATGCATGTTTCAATATTAAGGAAATGGAAAGCTCTGCAGATATGAAAACAAATCCTAAAACCTCTGCTTTAGGGGGGGAGGGGTTTTTTTTATAAAGCATTTCTTCACTATATAAGATTTTTAAGGGATTATTTACAAGAATCATAGAAAGCCAGTGACAAGAGTACTTTATCCTAAAAGCATCTACACCTCTTTTACTGGATCAATGCCATAGCAATGTAAAGGGGAGGGCTTTAAAACTGTTTTTCCAGCACCGTTTTCTCGATCCAAAATTCTTTCATCCTTATAAACTGCCATTTGGCTCCCCACCCCAAAAAATCTTGCAGGCTTCGAGGTAGCAGGGCTCCAGAGCTGCAATTGTTGTGAACTCATTTAATAAGAAGCACCTCCTGCAGAAATCAATTGAGCTTATTTCAAGAAAGGCTGTTTAAGACCCTGATGTACTATGGAGAGGAAGGCAAAAACCTAGTAAACTATTTCTAAAATTAAATTTCCCCTCTCTTCCTCCTTTCCTTGATCGAGCAATCGTTTAAAGTAAGTCAACATGATTTACGCTATGCTTGTACATGCTTCATTTAAAAAAGAAAACCTTAAAAAAAAAAAAAACCCTGGAAGGAAGCTTCTGAAATCATAAGCTCTTTTTCCCTCTCGCCCTTTCCCACTTCTTCCACCCACCTCCCCCGCCGAATTGTAGCGCAAATATTCGGGGGGTGGCCAAAGGCCATCCAGTTCAACCCTGTTCGAACCCCCCGCCGCCACCCCCACCCCCACCCCCACGGTGTTTTACAACCCTCGTCTGCATCATTTATCCCCCTTTACCCGACAAAATCCAAATTCTAACCGTATCTTTTGAAGTTCCCAGTTTTTTCAGTCCGTCCAAGGGCAGCAAGTCGGCGGAGTCCTTGTGGTTGAACTGGACGGCCTGCTTCATCCTCCTCTGCTGTCGGAGGGCTGCGGCTTCCCTCACGTCCATGTCCTTCCTATCGGTCAGCAGCCCCGAGTAAAACATCTTGCCGGCTCCCTTCGCGCTGGCCGGGCCTCCTCCTCCCCTCGGCCAGCTACAGCGGCAACAACCACTACCGTTGCTGCTTCTTCCGAGGGGATGCCTGGGCGGGCTTTTATCGGGAGCACTTTATAGCAGGACAAGCCTTTCCCCCCCCCTCCGCCCGCGTGACAAGCGCCAGCAGCAGGTGCCCCCGCCGGTGCGACGGCGGCTGCAGAGCTAAGGAAGGGCTGGACGGGCGTCGTGCGGGAGGTCGCCCGCCCCTGCGCGCCGGCTGAAGATGCGGGGCTGGCCGCAGAAGCGGGCATCCCCGGAAAAGCGAGGCGGGCGCCCGGCTCCTTTGGCAAAAGCCACAGCCATCGCCCGTGGCGTGCCTCCTCGGCAGCTGCTGTTCCAGGGCGGAAAAGAAGCTGCTTTTGACTTCTATCTAATGGATGTGACCTCTTTTATTTTTTTTAAAAAAGGGGGGGAGGGGGGAATTACGGTGGGTATCATACGTATATGCTGCCTATTAAGCGAAACCCGGCAGCTGTAGATGTATAACGAGTAAGGATAGATTGGCGAGATGGTGCCCTTCTGGCTGCAAACACACACATGCATTACATACACACATACACACCCTAGGTATCATTTAAGGCCCTTTAAACAGCTAGACAATTTGGACATGCATCTGTAGGCAGGTTTAGGACCCACATAACCCATCCTCCACTTTTGCTAATCCTTCTAATTAGTGGGATCTTTGTATGGGATCCCTTGGGAATGAAATATCTGGTTTCCTCATATGGCAGCGATTAGAGGGGGGAGGGAGGGAGGAAAGTTTAATCTCCTTCTGAAATACTGACTATTAATATATTAGCGGTTTTTTCCACAAGATCATCATTTTCCATAACGACTGGATATTACATAAGTTTGTTTGGTCTGCCCAATCTCGAGTGTTGGTAAAGATACATGCCTTTTTGTAATGTTCTATTTATGAAAAACTCTGGAATGATGGCCTTTCTCAGCCAGGGCTTTCCATTTCTTACATATAATTGTTTATAAATTATTTTGATTGCAGTGGTAAAATTATTATCTATACACTACTAAAGCTCTCATTGTGTTTATCTGTTTGTATATTTATCTGTAACCCTCAAGTTAGCCAAAATGGTGCAATATACTGAAATGATTTTTCAGTCAAGATACTTCAAATTTGCTAAAGAATAATTGCAATATATGTATTAAAAAAAACCCACCTGGGGACCCATTATTCCAGTGGAAGTGAAATTTCCACGATGTTCAGAGCAATTTTATTTGCAAAGTTGTGAATGTTTTAGTATCCTAACAGTCATGTGATCATGATTTCTGTGTTCTCTGCCAGCTTCCCACAAGCAAAGTCAATGGGGAAACTGGCAGGAAATCAGAAGATGCTCCTGCTCCTGCTGCTATTTTGCTTGCCCATGATCTTTTTGTTCATCTTTTTAGATCTCATCTAAATTATAATATATCATAGACATATGTCATAAGGTAGTATATCTTATTATATCTTATTTAGATATCTAAATTATGGTATATAACATATCATAAATAGAAAAATAATTATTATTTTTCTATTGATGATGTATAATGGTTTTAGATAAACATAGGGCAGTTCAGCATTGTTGTAAAAAACAAAATATATTCGGTCTAAAACTTAATGTTCATTCTGGTCACATCAGACTGCATTTACCTTTCTCCCATAGGATGATCCAATGGGTCCCAGAGTTGTCTAGTACAAACTAAATTTAAAGAATAAAAATCAGTAAGAAAGAATACAAAATGTAAGAGAAAAGAGAAAAGAAAGAATATGATAAAGAAAAAGAAAATATATGAAGAAAATATTTCCCATCTTCATTACAACAGCATAGCTATAGACATAAGAATTAACTTCTTGACTCTTTATAATGTTATAAATGGATACCTCTTCATCCCATATCCCATCACTTATCTATAAGCATATCCATAGAATACCTTTTCAGTCCTGGTGTCAGCAAAAAGTCCAGAGTTACCAGAGCTTTACAAATAGTCTTATTTTAACCATGATCAGATAAACCAATGCTGTATTCCTTTCTTTTACTTCTAATAGTCTTAATCGTTTTATTCAAATATTGTCATGGGATTTGATTTTTCTTTAATTCTTTTTGATCCTGTTTCACAAACCTCTTTTGTAGATCCAGTTAGAAAACATTTTCCAGGACATTTTCTTGGTTTTTCATTTTTGTTTCTCCTTTTTAAACTTTCAGACAGTTTTCTTTGGTATATCCATTTTTTTTGTTTACTTCTGCTTTTATTGTTTTTAATGGTTTTAATAACTATAATGGTTTTAGATAATGATTTCTCAAAATTATTGTTTTATTGGTTATATGCTGCCTCAGAGTCCCTTTCCATGAGATGGACAATCATATAAATTTGATGAATAAATGTGTCCTTTTCCAAATAATTCTCTTGATCTATTATGAATAATTCCAATTTTGGCACTTTCTGTCTTGTCAGACAAAATTTGATCCACATCTTTCACTTATTCATTGACATCTTTTGGACATAGTCTATCCATAGGATCAGACATCATTACTGACACTGTTGATATTGTAACTACTAATTTCTAGCTCCATTTTTCAAAAAACTTTAATATTTTCAATGTTATGATGTTTTGTCTCATTTTGTAATTCCCAGTTAACCAACACAAAAAAACGGATTATATATTTTTTCTTTCTACTTAGAATCTTTAGTCCCCTCTAGTGTCTAGTAGTTTCTAAGATCATAAGTTGCTTATCTTTTTTATGAACCACAATAGTCAAAATCACTCTTGTTCCCACAAAAAGCTATTTGTATTTTATAGTTAATGCAAAAATCTTATAAAATTCAATAATCCAAATTTAGCTAGACCTTTAATCCATTTGTAACTTTCTTAGATCAAAATCCTATTTGGCTTTTGCTTTTTATTTCAGATACTTCAGGTTCTTAAGTTTATAATTAATTTTTATTTTATTGAAGCTAAACTCACCCAATGACTATTCAAACCTGTCATTTCAAAGGTCTCTAATAGCTTTAAGATGGTTAATAGGCAATTTCTGAAAATGATTAAAAAGTGAGGACTTAGTGTCCTCTAAAAAAGATCCACCACAGTTGTGAACAAGATAGCTAATCCTGTCATCTCTCAGCATTCAATCCTATGGAACATAGCTGTCCTGCATTTCTTCTTGAGAAGCAGCTATCCAGAGCACATGTGGGCAATCTCCCACCCATACCTTATCCAGAGAGGTTTGAAGGAACCTGTCTTCTCCCCAGTTCTCTGGTCTTTGCCACAGTCATCAGCTCCACCTTCATGAAGATATCTTTATTTCACCATGCATCCTCTGGAAGCCCTCAACTGAGGCATCCCAGATGAATTGTGTGACAATCTCTTGTTACTCCTGAGAAGCATAAATATTCTCATTACATATTCTAGGGATTGTAGTCGATCACAAAGAGTTCAAGCTATGGAACGTTTATCTGTGCAATGACTGATATAATTAGCAATATATAACAAAGTAGATGACCAAATAATGGTGCAAAATGTCTATAAATGACAGGAGTGTTTTCTGTTTATTTAGCAAATAGATAAGAAGAAAAGCAACATGTAGCAGAAACAATCCAGGAAAAGGATGAATTCTGAGGAGGGGAAGGGAAGTATGTTTCCTTGATTAAGATGGTTATCATTTGTAACTGCAGTGCCCTTCTGTCCAAAATCTGGACTACAATTATTTGCAACTTTTCAAATCCATCATGGATTTTTAACCATATCTTCCCACAATCTTTGCATAACTTCAAGCTATCTGCTCTGTTTAAGTGCTGAGTTTTTAAAATTATACTTATTTATTAAATGTATGCCACCCATTTTGCCATCAAATGAATCTACCCAACTTACAAGATAAAAATAATAATATAAAACATTAAAAGGGTAAATATTAACAAAATTAATAAAGATAGCTAAGCAAGGAACCAATTTCCAATGGGGGGATGTGGAGGTGGAGTCTTAATCTCTAACCACCTCCTATATAGGACAACCTCAATGGGACCCCAGGTCAAACAGCAAAACCAGGTTTTAATGCCTTTCCAGAAGGCCAAGAGGGTGGGGGCGGATATCACCTTGAGGGGCACAATGTTCCAGCGGGTGGAAGCCATGGCAGAAAAGGCTTTTCTCCTGCCAGCTGAATATGAGCCATGGTGGCGCAGTTGTTAGAATGCCGTATTGCAGGCTAATTCTACTCACTGCTAGCAGTTTAATCCTCACTGTCTCAGGGTTGAACCTTCCATCCTTCCAAGATCAGTAAATTGAGGACCCAGATTGTTGGGGGAAATATGCTGACTCTGCGAACCACTTAAAAAGAGCTGCAAAGCACTATGAAGTGGTATGTAAGTCTAAGTGTTATTGCTAATTACTTGCATTCCATGCTTCTAACTGTCTGCTATATAGATTCGCTGTTTCCTCTTTTAATTTAGACTATATCTGTCTAAATTAAATTACACCAGATGTACCAGATCCTTTAAGCATAGTGATGCTATGGATGTTATGATAAGATGCAATAAAGTACTACTGATTTGTATGTGTGTTTATTTCCAAGAAGGATTCCTCAAACTTGCTTTTTACATTGAATTACAGTTAGCATGCAGTTTTGAAACAAGTTCACTGTGTAATGGGATAGACTGCCTCATTAGAATTAAAGATAAATTTTTCAGCAGGGAATGAAGAGTGTCTTTGAAAATGTTTCTTCCTAAAATATACATTGCTATCTAGAGAGAAAAATAAAATGTGTGCAACAGATTTTGAATCCTAATGGAGAATGACTTAAAATCATATACATTTTTAAGGCTGTGCAACTATGATTTTGTAGTTAGGAAAAAAAAAATCAGGTGGCACTTCCAGTCACCCTCTTATGGCTGCTATTGTTACTTTATTAAAAGTAATCTGATCCTGAACAATAACCCTGAATGTATAGCTTAGTAATTTCAACCCAGAAGCTATTTTTCCTGTTTGTTTTTTCTCCTTGTAGAACAGTCAGTTGTTAGTTGATGAATTATTTATAAACAAATTCTGGAGAAAGAAGCAACCTGTTTTTCCCCTTGGGAGATGTTTGGCACTTACTCCATTTTTGAAATAAAGATGCTTTAGTTTGTTTCTTTCATCTCTAGACTAAAGAGGAACAAATCTTTCCTTTCAGCAATTATGCCATTTTGTCTAAAGAAAGTGCTGTGGTAGAAACCTTGAACTTGCTAATAGAAACTCTGATTCAAGCAGATATGATGACTATATGAAACAAGCATCTAGAACAGTGGTTCTCAACCTGTGGGTCGGGACCCCATTTGGGGTCGAACGACCATTTCACGGGGGTCGCCAAACAAGGCTGTCCGCCATTTTTTCCCCTTTTCTTTGGCCACGCCCCTGGCACCCGGTGATGTATAAGTGGTTGGGGGGTCACCACAACATGGGGAACTGTATTATGGGGTTGCAGCATTAGAAAGGTTGAGAACCACTGATCTAGAAAGACCTCTTGGCCCCAAGCCAAATATCTCAGATAAGGCAGTGTCAGGCTCTCTGAGCAAGGATTGCAGGGAAGTGAAGGCTGCCAGGGAAGTTGGGCTGGGGCTTCCTAGAAGAGGGAGGAGTCAATAAGTGGATAAGATGATGACCAAGCAAGCAGGATCTCTCTGCTTATCAAAGAAAGGGAAGAGAAAGCAAAGCAAATGAGAACAAATGCTGGAAGAAAGCACATTCTCCTAGGCCAGGGGTAGGCAACCTTGTCTCTTTTATGACTTGTGGACTTCAATTCCCAGAATTCCTGAGCCAGCATGGCTGGGAGTTGAAGTCCACGAGTCATAAAAGAGACAAGGTTGCCTATCCTTGGCCTAGGCATTAGAGAGAAAAGAAAAAGCAGGATCTAGGAACTCTTACTGGAATAGGTCTCCAGATTATAGCGTCCTAGATCTGATCTTGATTTTAAAAAGTACATTTTTTCTGAACTAGGTAAGAAAATCAAATATTGATGTTATATTTAATAAAAAATACTGCCCGCTCATTAGACAAAATGCAATGTCTGGTTGGTTCCTTTTGGAGGAAAGCCATGTTTAATAAACGTCTGTTTAAGGACTGTTTACTTCATTTTTCACTCACTAGAGAATTTATAAAATGCTTCAGTGCTACAACCTCAAGTTAACTTATCTTCAATCAATACTTATGATGATCTGATTTGGAGCATGCCCTCTCTGTGGGAGCTTATGGGATGGGCAGATGTTCTTGGAAAAAGATGGTCCCTCAAGTAACCTGGTCCTATACCAGTGATGGCGAACCATTTAGAGACTGAGTGCCCAAACTGCAACTCAAAACCCACTTATTTATTGCCGGGTGCCAGGTGGGTGTGACCTACTGGGTGGGCATGGCTGTGGTTGTCATGGTAGACTAGATGGGAGTGGCCAAGGTGGGCGTGGTCACCTCGATGTTGCTCATGGGGAGAGACGCCAGTGGGGGCCAGGCAGGGTTGGGGGAGATCCAGGAGGGTCTCTGGCAGGTGGGGTGGTGGGTAGGAAGCTCGTCCTGTGGGGTGAGGCGAGGCAGGGTTGGGGTGCCATTATCTCAGGGCAAGACAAGGTAGGAGCCGGGGCAGCTGCTGCCTGACACCATCGGCCCCCGCACACAGAGGCCATCGAGCGCATGGGGGCCAACAGTGTCTCTCGGCAGCCACAGCCTGCCGGCCCCTCAACCGGTGCACTCTGGGGCTCCTCAGCCCACCACCAGCAGTTCAGAGAAGTGCCCACAGAGAGGGCTCTGAGTGCCGTCTCTGGCACGCATGCCATAGGTTTGCCACCGCTGTCCTATATTATGTGGGGCTTTAAAGGTAATAACTCTCACTTTTGAATTGCACCTGGAAGCTTATTGAAAGCCAGAACTGTTCACAGTGTTACATGGGCGTAATTAGATGCGCCCATAACTACCTATGTCACTGCATTCTGGACCAACTGAAGCTTCTAGATGGTTTTCTAGGGCAGCCTCCTGTATAGCACTTTGCAATAATTGGACAATTAAGACATGAGTGACCATAAGCAGATCCTCCTGGCCCAGTAATTGGCACAACTGGCACACAACACATAGTTTTTCCAATAATGTTATTAGATCATATTATGCAAATAAAACTTATACAACTACAAAATAAATATATTAAAAATTAAAATGTGCAGAAAAAAACAGAAAAGGAAACCTTTCCCTTCATCCCCAGGAAGTATAATCAACTTTACTATCTCTTAAAATAAATCCAAGCATACTTTCATTCCATATTTTGCCCCAATTTCTATAAACCTATGTCACAGCAAAAGTCCAGTAAAGGTGTACACAACACAGCTGTGCAAAGGCCCGTCTTGGCCAGAGCCATCACCTGCGCTTTGAGCAGAAACACTGCATCCTGAAGAACTTCCAGATTTTACTTTTTTAGTGAAAATTTGACAATAAGAACCATAAATGCTCCTAGAAAATAAGAGAATAAAGAGAATGGTGGCATCTGTTTCCATGAGGAGGTGGTCCCCTCAGCCTTGAAGAGTCGATCACTGGGTGCAATGATCCTGGATAACTTTTGTCCAATCTCTAACCTTTTTCTGAAGGGGGTGTTTGGGCTTCAACTCCAGAGGATTTTGGATGCATTATATGGACCCCATTACAATCTGGGTTCACCTTAAAAGCATTTCGAAAATCATTCAAAATGAGGTTACTGTCCTAGGCCTTGGATTGGGTGGTTGCAGAATCCCATGGGTTAGGGGTTTTACTGGTCATGCATAGACTTCTGGTCAATTGTAAGTTTTTTCTATATATATAGTTTTTTCTCTTTTCCTCATAAGCCACTCAGTTATTAAGGAGTCAAGCAACCTTGAAGAAAATTAATCTCACTTGAACCTCTGATGCTTCTTCCAATAGCTTTTGCCTTGTTCTGCTGATTTTTAGGTAATGCCCACTAGAGTATCATTTTATTCCAAGCATATAAATTTGATATGTCATTTCAACAGAAAATACCATTTCTGGGCTCAAGATTTGGCTCCGATACCTTCAATGACATGAAGAGCAGCTTCTTCCCCACAAGCCGTCTGGCGAGTGGGAGTGGGAAGGAGACAGGCTCATTGCATTTTGTATCTTCATTAATTTCAACAAGTTTCCACAAACAGGAAGCAAATGATCCAGCCTCAAATTATTTGCCAACATGCTAATTTCACATAACAGTGCAACATATACTTGTAACTTGTAGCTAGTGAAAAAGGGATTGCAGGTGTGTCCATTAGAAACACTTAAAAAAATTATAGGAGAAAGCATAAAAGTATAAATCTGTTCTCATTTTTGCAGAAGCATTTTATCTCCATCTGGCCCCTCAGCCACTGAATCACAAATGCTTTTAAAACTCTCTCAAATTTTGGAAACAGTTATTTAATTCTGAGGAGCTTGAGAAGTGGAAATGCAGCCTACATTTTTATTTCTATTTTCCACTCTTTTTTCTGAAAAGCATTTGCTGTTACTGCAGGCTTTGTAAAAGGGCGGTGGGCGGGGGTTGAGGTAGTAACTTTACTATTCTTTTTGCAACATCATTTTGATGGCAAAGGTAAGTAAAAATTGGGTGATTCCCCTTTAACTTTCCACAAGTTGAAATAATAATTGGTGAATATCATTCTAACTTTTTTGGGAATGTTCTTTAGCAATAAAATAATATGAATTGGTTCCACATTAAAACAAATAACACTTTGTAACCTATGTATTTAAGCTGGAAATAAGAGGTTGCTTTTTTTGTGCCACTCTCTTGGCAATGAACTTTCAGTTCCTCTGACTTTCTTTCTGAAAAGAGCAACAGTTAACCAAATTTTAGGAAGAAATTCTATCCGATCACTCTTATTTATTTAGTCAGAAAATAAAACTTTAATAAGCAGTTTAGTGCTTCCCATGTCTATCACAACTGGTCTCCTTGGAAACAGGAAGTTAAAAACTTTATGAAGAGAACTATTTTAAATTTCTTTTAAGTAATTTCTATCACTAGTGCGTTTGTTGTGAAATGTACCGTTGCCAAGAATGACAGCAATTTATGAAGCCCTACTATTAACTAAGTCATTAATATTTTATCAGTGTGGAAATCTGCAGCGTTTTACGTATTTTTCTTGACCACTTGATCCTCACTGAAATGAAAGAAAGTTCTGTGGAAGTGTTTGCTTGAGTGCATTTAAGATTTTCCAAGTAACCTGGAGAAAAGTACTTTTGGTGTCTTTAATGGGAGTTTATCTATAAACATCACCTGTGATGTCCTACAGTTTCAACCACTATTAAACATACACTTATAGGGCTAGCTTTTAAGTCTGGCAAGTCAAATTTGTACCCCTTCTATCTAGAAGGAAGCAAAACACCAAGCAGACAGCCTTCTCACATTAATGAAATCACAAACAAGAGTGGGTCTGTCCATTATCTATAAATATGATGAGAAAAGCTGCATAACTGAATAATTCCAATTCAGGGCTTAGCTTATTCCTCTAGAACTGCCCAGACATTGGAAGATATTCCACAACAGAGTGGTAAAATAAGTATGGACTACACATTGAACTTTTAACTTTTCTGCTTTCAATGCTTAGTACTGTATAAATTACCTCTTAAATAAAGTGATACATGCAGACACAAAAAATGGACAGTTGTATATATGAAAAGCAGGTTGGCTAATAATATTCAAACTGACTATTATCAGTATTTCCAGGCTGTAACCTGATTAAATCTGAAAATAAATTAATTTGAGTGATAAAAGCAAATTGCTACTCCTGTGAACTTATTTGAATGATGGGATCAAAGGATTACGTATATTAGCTATATCATTCATATGTACAACTTTAAAAAAAATCAGAAGACCTGATATATAGACATAAAAAATGTTTATATTTTACACATCATCTTACATATCTCATTAATCAACATTTGGCAGCAAATAATACCAACAACAGAAATGGAATATTGGCAAAGTAATATCTACTTTCTATATTCCAATTAAATCTTCCAATGATTACAATCTGAATTAATTATCCATTAATGCTTTCAAGGATTGTTCAAATAGTTAAGTGTTTAGTTCTCACTGTCCATATAGAAGTCTTACATATAAAACCTTTGAAAGTCTGCTTTGAGTGGGGAAAGCTTTTCCCATTTTCCACTAAGAATAGCTGATAATATTACCATTTATAAAATAAAAAAGGAACTGTAACTCACTTCGCTTGTTAGTAAGCTTAATAAAGAAAATGAGTATAATACTGCAGAAACAGTATCAGAGATAGTTGCAAATATTTTGGAACAGAAGTCTGAGATAACGGGGAGGCGCCACCAAACTTTTAGTCCCACTGGAATAAAATGGCACATACTATATAAACAATTTTTACTGTTGCTTCTTTTAATTTTGCAGATATCTTTAAAAGCTGGGCAGCTTTTAAAGCTGTATATTGAGTAATTAAATTGAAGTGACATTCCCAGAGTGTTTTCAGTTTTTAGTCTGTGGTGTACAAAATATCTAGAGTAAAATTTTGATGACAGTTGAGTTGACTGATGAGCTAATGTTTAGCCTTTCAAAACAGTGAGTCATCTCTTTTACAGAAAGATCTTCATGACCTATAGCCAGAACATCCAAGTATCTTCCAGTCTGTTTGCTATTTCTTCAGAACTTGCAGTTTTCCCTCCTACAAATACATTTCTGAATTAATTTCTGAATCTATGAATTCCTTTAGACCCATAAGACATACTTGAAGTAAGGATGCTCAAAGATTAGAGAAGATATGGATGGATCTGGTTAGCTTTTGAAGGCTTCCAAATTTCAAACCAATCTTCAAGAAAAATTGGAACACTATAAGTATATTGATATGTAAGAATGGACCATCCAAATGGTACGCTTAGAATCTTATATTCCTATTTTAATATGTCTGAACCCTGTGTTTGTTCCAATACTGTAATTATCTTAGGTAAGCTGTCTACTGATTATGAGATGGCTGGAGGAACATTCTACACATTCATAGTACGAATAGCACTAAGCAACAATAACTGATGCAACATGCATTTGCCATCAGTTAATCTAGAATCATAGAATTAAAAAGTAATGTTCAAGAAGCTATTAAAGATCTCAGGCTAGGGCAAAGCAAAGGTTGAGTCACTGCTAGATGGGGGGGGGGAGGAAGTGGGATGTTGGTTATATGATGTTTTAGGAGTATTCCTTCTTTTTTCTCTTTTCTTTTTTACTTTTAATTGTAAGCTGCCCAGAGGTATTGGGAGGCGGGTGGCATATAAGTTGTATGTATATACATATATATATTTATGTGTAAACAAATAAATTATGGAATTAGAAGAAACTACGCAGATCATCTAGTCTGCAATATTAGGAAAGCCAATTAATAGTCTGGAATATGACAGATTCTCTTACATACTGGCCTCACCCTGATATTCACAATAACCTTTATTTTTGATATTCTGTGTAAGGAAAACTCTTGTTTTTTCTAATCAGAGAGCATTTTAACAGTGAATCTGAAGAAAAAGCCTTAAAAACTGCATTTAATTGCCAGATGAAACTGGCATCCTGTATTCATTCTATGTTTCTGCGTATGTATGGCTACACACTCTTTTTGAACACTACTCTGTTTTTTAAGCTGATTAAGGATAAAACAAAAGATACTGTTTATTTACAATTAAATGTGTACCACATACTGCCCTCTTGTGGAAAACAAGGAGATTATTACTTCCCATGTCACAAAATCAGCCATTAATTTATGGACAGTTGTGTGGCATATAAAAAAAGGAACACAGTTACATACAGCACTGAGAAACTAATTAAGGAAGGTGTGGAATAATGTAGATTGTCTTACAGAGCTTTTTTTCCTGCATATCATCATAACATAATCCTATCTGAGCCATACAAATTTACTGCATTTTCTTTAATTAAATTATCCTTTTAAAGGTAATTTTTAAATATAAGCTTAACAAATTTATACAGTGAAATGTCATAATCAATACATATCTTTGCCCTCTTACATGAACAAGAGAATTATGCCTTCCCCCCATCACCTACACATAGTTTTTATTCACTTAGCATTGGAATGTCTGAGAACATAAATATTCACTCTTCATCCAGGGTAACTCAAATGTTAAATATTGAATTGGCTACAAGAATATTGAGAAATAAAGGATTCTGTACAAAAGAATGACTATCATTCTCACTTTAAAATCCACTTGAAAGTAGTTTTCCACTTGAAAAAACTACTGTACTATTTCTTTTTAATTAAAAAGCAGAAGACTCACATCATGCTTTGGTTTGTTTTGAAATCACACTTTGAAAACCAATCTTTTCTCATATCACATTGACATTTAAGCCTGTGTTGTCTTCATCATCTCTGAAATTCCAAAGTGGACTGCTTGGACATTTCCAAAATGATGGACTCAACTCTTTTAAACTGCTGCCATCATGAAATTTTAAAATTAAAATATTCACATTAATCATGATTAGTTATCACTGCATCACTTCCAAGACAATTGCACAACTTTTCTAAAATAGACAGTCATCCAGTGGGTTATGAGACAAGAGAAAAACCTCCATGGACTGAAATAATTACATTTTTAATTTAAAATATACATGTTGTATACAATTGGCTTGTCAGTTTTTTCCAGACTGCCCTATAAAAAAGAATATAACAGAAGCCTGTACAATTAAGAATTCTTAAAGTTTTTTTAAAAAATGTAATATACATTATTTGTAAGGTCTCAAAAATCTGGAGACCTTAGAACGCAACAGTCGAATGAAAGATCTTGGAAACATTTCCCTAGATTCTTGTGCTGTATACTTAAAGTAATTCTGTGGGTGGGCTAAGACATCAAACAATGCCTTTATCAGCTTCTTATCCTGAAAGAATAAGGTCAATATTTTTAATCATTTGATGATGACTTGAAATAAACAATAAGACAAAAGCATAATTTAATATAGTAAATTAAAAGTCAGAAAAGGACTTTTAGCCAGGTGATGCCCTGTTACTTTTATTTATGTCAAATTTAGATCCTGCCTTTTGTTTAGAAGCCCAAGCCAGTATGGATGGAATCCTAAGGCATAGGTTGGGGAAGAGAGAATGTGCAATGTTAAGATCAAAGTTTTCTATTGTCTTTACCACTTCATAAGCTGGAAACAGTACTTTTTACTCTGAAATTTTCCACTCCCTCCGTAACTATATACAGATAGTCCTCGGCTTACAACAGTTCATTTAGTGACCGTATGAAGTTACAATGGGATTGAAAAAAGTAACTCATGACCATTTTTCACACTTACAACCATTGCAGCATCCTTTTGGGCACAGGATCAGAATTCGGACCCTTGGCAACTGGTATGTATTTATAATGGTTGCGGTGTCCCGTGGTCATGTGATTCCCCTTCTGACAAGCAAAGTCAATGGGGAAGCCCGGTTCACTTAACAAAAGTATTACTAATTTAATAAATGCATGACTGATTTAACAACTATGGTAAGAAAAATCGTAAAATAGAGCAAAACTCACATTTAACAACTGTCTCTCTTAGCAAAAGGAAACTTAGGGCTCAGTTGTAGTCGTAAGTCAAGAACTACCTGTATAGTCTCAGGGCCACATGAATAAAGAAACCACTTTTGTTTTTTTGCTTCAAATTATAATGTACTTTTAATCAGCACTGCCTCAACTAGCTACTCAAGAATTCCAGAGTGTCAAGGCAATATATGTATAATATACAATAATTATAATAATAGTAACAGATAGCTCTTCTTGTTAGAAAGATATACCTACCTTCCTATGTTGGTACCCACTTCTCTCTGTCACAAGAATGTATTAATACAGTGCCAACTCATTGCACTTCACAGATCATGAGTAACAGCATAAATCTTTTGACTATGAAAAAGCTTAATTCCTATTTTCTTTCAGGCAAGGTTAGAAATAAGATTACCTTAAGGATCTCTTGGTGATTTTCTGATGCATAAAGTCTACCATCTCTGACTATATCTTCTATTAGCTCCTGATAATCCTCTATTAAGAATACACAAAGCAGCATTAATCTTGCTTACTTGTTAAAGAGTCAAAACTATTCTCTTTAGGCAAAAACAGATCATTTACATTTAAACATGTAAAGCAATTTAAAAGCATACCAGGGTTGTTATAGATTTTTTTGTAATGTACAATCAAAATTAGAGGCTTACTTCCATAATTTGAAGATTTAATATATTCCAAAATAATTTCAATAAGAGAACTATATAAAAAAACAGAAACAAAATTTTCCATAGTAAATGGTTGATACTACTATGTTCAAATCATGAGTATTCTTACAAACTCTACTTTGTATAACATTTCAACAACTTTTTTCCTTAATACTTACTGCATTAAAAATATCCACTATCAACATTCTTATTCTCCATTGTCTTTATATAATAAAACCATTACTCAATAGCTTTTGCAAGCGTGTGAGTTCCACAAATGTGTTTTCTTTATGGGAATTATATCAAGCTCAGTTCCAAAATTCTGGAACAAAGGCTGTCTCAGAAAACTGAGATCAGAAAGTTACCACTGATTATAGCAAAGCCAAATTTAGCTCTTTAAAAGAAACACATGTCAGGCATTTGGAGTTCATCATGCCCAAACCAGATTTGTTTGGGGATGGTCATTACCCTGAGGGAATTCCTGTTTAACTTGGAATAATGACCAGAGATCATATGGAGAGAAAGCTGCTAGTTCTCTTTGTCTCTGCCTGAAATATTGATTAGTCCCAAATTTAACTTCAAAGCAGAAAGTGTGAAACCACTGGAACAGTTATGAAAAAAGTAATTTCCCAGGGCTGAGTGAAAACATATGATAGCTCTTCCTAAATCTAAAAATATAATCTGAGCTACAACAGAGTAATCGAGGAATAGAGAAGTCATAATATTACACAGAACACATCTTGTAAAAAATGTATTACGTAAAATACAAAAACCAATGAAAGATTCATAACTTTTTCTGAAAACAGCTACAGCATATGCCTTACTATCATAGTCCTAAATACCGTAACAATTTCTCTGATCAGATACAGTTAATGCTACATCATTTTGTGCAGAAATGATGCATCCTGCCATAGCTGACTAGTAAGACGTGGCATGATTTAAGAAAACCATCTGTCAAGTCAAACACATTTTTTTCATAAAAGTTCTTTATTAAAGCCTTAAGCTGCATTAATGCAAACACTGCCATTTTCTATCCAGGAATTCTAATTCTGTATTCTCAGATAAACAAAATATACTTCCCCCAAATAAAGGAGACTATACAGTATATCTATATTCCAGGTTAACCTCTTTCAAGACTGACTTTCAATCTATAAAGATCGATGAACAGTTCAAACATCAGGTAACACAATGATTGCTAATATTTTCTAAACTATTTATCTTATGATTGGATTCATATATTGTGCTCAGACATGATTAATTCAATCATGGATTTGTTGACTTAGCCATAAACTACAATTTACAAACCACAGTGACTGGGATCACAATATATAGTAGGCCAAATCAGTAAATCACTTATGATTTAGCATGATCTGTGAGTACAGCAAGCAACAGTTTCGCATATTGGAAAGTTCAGGTGCTAAATAACTGCTCACTACCTATTCATCTTCTTGAGATCTTCTCTTTCTATCTTTTTCATTTATAGAAGTGCAGAAATATAAATAACAAAAATAAAATGCCCATATTTAAACTTTCTTGGCTTACCATCATAGGTTACATAAGGGACCTGGAATCCTTTTGCACTATTTCCTTCATTTGATTTGAACTGGATCCAGAGCTTTTTGGACCTGGAAGTGAAAGCTATAGGGCGTTCATAAGTTTGGCAGGTTTCATATGTGGTCACAGAATTGGAGGAAGCTGGCAAACAAAATGTACAAAGGCAGATATCAGAGTTATATTATGCATTATTTCCCATAAGGTCCTACTATTACCCCAATATTAGTTTTCCCCAAAGAAAGTTATCCTATCAGTTATCCTGTTGCCAAAGTCTCCTCTAGTGAAAAGCAGAAGATGACTGCTATTTGTAGTCACTATGTTTATCTACTGAAATCTGCTTTAGTAAAGTGTTTTCCTGATGCAACCAAGCTAAGAACTGAGTATTCTGGGACAGTAATCAAAGTAGAGTTATATGGTGCCAGAATAGTGGAGGCTGTTGTTTCAAAGGTGTTCGTTTTTCAATTTCATTATAATGTACACAATACTTGTCACTACTGCTCTCAACATAGTATGAAAGCATTTTGGTGCATTTTAAGCTACTGTCAAACTCTCCCCAACATTTCCAAAATAAGAGTTTTGTAGTCTGTTGTGGGAAAAGATCTAGGAAAGAATCTCCACAAAAATAAAAATAAAAATCATGTTTCACAACACATTACTACACTGTTCTCTGCAAACGGAAGCCTGGACGAGATTTGCAGCAAAAGGCTTTGTAAATGGAGGGAAGGGTGAAACATTAAAGCCTCCTTCCCCCCGTTTGCAAAGCCTTTTGCCATCTTTGCAAAAAGCCTTTGCCGCCAAGAACGGAGCCCCGGCTTGATGCGTGCATCACTCCTGGCCTTTGTTCTTGGCAGCGAAGGCCTTTTCTCAAGGCATTAGCTGCTGAGAATGCAGGCCAGGAGCGACGCTCATATCAAGTTGAGACTCTGTTTTTGGCGGCAAAGGCCTTTCCTCAAGGTCTTTGCTGCCAAGAACGCAGGCCGAAAGTGACGCATGCATCAAACCGGGACATGGTTCTCAACGGCAAAGGCCTTTCCTCAAGCACACTTTGTGTGAAGACTGGATGCCTGAAGTCCCACGAAATCACAGCCCCCAGAAGCTTCCAGTCTCGGCACCCAAAGAGTCAGATGCTTTGAAGTAGCAATGTCGCTAACCCAAAGCTTCCCATCAGTTTGCAAACATTTTGAGTACCGAGACTGGAAGCTTCTGGGGTCCATGATCTCGTGTGGCAGAAAGGCTGGAGAGGGGACAGCTCACTATATCTTCACAAAGTAAGTGGCCTGTCGTGACAGGATGAGGGGGAAGCAGTTGTGGGGAGCATAAGTTATCTCAGTGGGTCAAAGGAGGCCTTGGGAGGTCTGAAGCAGGTGGCCTGTTCCATCACTAGGCCCTCCATGGCCCCACCCTGACATACCTCATGTGCACTTAACAAACCGCGCATTCATTTAGGGAGCGATCACATTCAAGGTACACATTCACTCCTGTGAATCCTCGAGTTATGAATGGAATGGATTCGTAACTCAAGGACTACCTGTAGTGTTCAAAACTGTATAAAGGAGCTTTTCCCACCTACAAGGCATTAATATCATTTGTACCTCTTTCTCCCAATGAAAGCATTACTTTTATACCGAAGAGATCAGCCCAAGGAAAATAAAACAATAGAATTTCCAGACTTTGGGTCCATGCTCCTTTATTCACCTAAGCGTTAGTATATGCAAGCCTATAAACAGAGCGTAACTCTTTTAAGTTACTTTATATAGAGCTCCACCTGACACAGAAATCCAGAGAAACAAAATCTACTTAATTTTAACTTACAGCTTTTTCTCATCACCAAGTAGTCTCCACATTCATCTTCTATTGGTAAAAATATTTCTGGAACCACAATCAAAATACGGCGCTTAGGAGGTGGATTTATGGTCCAAGTGCACTCAATGTTTGCAGGATAATTTCCAGGATAGTTTGGGGACTCAATGTATCCAGTAAACTCTCCAAGCTCACCCCCACAATGTCTGTCTAAAAAAAGAAAGGAATCTATTATCCATATTATGGCCTATGAAAAAAAAAGTGGAGGGTGGGAGGGCAGGTGGAAGAAGAGAACCAATGCCACCAAACTCATCAAACACTGTAAACCAAACTTCAGCTTCTATATAGAAATCAAACATACAGTTTCTTAAGCAACTGTTAATATACAACTGCTTGCAATGATTCAAAATGAAATATGTTCACACATCACCCTATTTGTGGACCTGACATAGTCCAAGTTTGATAAAGATAACATACACAGTCCTTCCACATGACTATTTTACTGCACTTGATTATCCCATTGACACAATGGATTATATCAGTGGCATTTTGGTAGCCATATTCATAACTTTCATAGCTATGCTGATATTCATATCATATGTTCTATCTCCTCACTACAAGGGGGAAAAAAATCAATGCTTGCCAATTATTCCAAGCAACATGATTGTCTTTATATGCCTCCAAGCTGACCAAATATTGCAACCAATCCACAGACCTCTTCCTCATTACACATTTTATCTTGATATATTGTCTAGAATGACATCCTCCATCACCAACACAAAAATAACTAGCTAATGGTTTCCTTCTTCTGATCTTCTCTATGATTCACCTACACTCTCCATTTGTGGAGGCTGAGGAGAAACCATTACATGGCTTAGTTAAATGGTGACAGTACTGAGTATTAGTAATAGTAGTAAAGTTGGAAGGGACCTTGGAGGTCATCTAGTCCAACCCCCTGCTCAGGCAGGAAACCCTACACCATTTCGGACAAATGGCTGTCCAGTCTCTTCTTAAAAACTTCCAGTGTTGGAGCATTTACTGCTTCTGGAGGCAGGCTGTTCCACTTATTAATTGTTCTCACTGTCAGGAAGTTTCTCCTTAGTTCTAGGTTGCTTCTCTCCTTGATTAGTTTCCACCCGTTGCTTCTTGTCCTGCCTTCAGGTGCTTTGGAAAATAGCTTAATTCCCTCTTCTTTATGGCAGCCCCTGAGATATTGGAATACTGCTATCATGTCCCCCCTTGTCCTTCTCTTCGTTAAACTAGACAAACCCAATTCTAGCAACCGTTCCTTATATGTTTTAGCCTCCAGTCCCCTAATCATCTTTGTTGCTCTTCTCTGTACTCTTTCTAGAGTCTCAACATCTTTTTTACATCGTGGTGACCAAAACTGGATGCAGTATTCCAAGTGTGGCCTTACCAAGGCATTGAAGAGTGGTATTAATACTTCACGTGATCTTGATTCTATCCCTCTGTTAATGCAGCCTAGCACTGTGTTGGCCTTTTTGGCAGCTGCAGCACACTGCTGGCTCATATTTAGGTGATTGTCTACTAGGACTCCGAGGTCCCTCTCACAGTTACTACTATTGAGCATGGTGCCACCTATGCTGTACTTGTGCATTTGGTTTTTCTTGCCTAAATGTAGAACCTTGCTTTTTTCACCATTGAATTTCATTTTGTTAGTTAGTGCCCAGTGTTCAAGTCTGTCCAGATCCTTCTGTATCTTAAGCCTGTCTTCTGGAGTGTTGGCTATTCCTGCCAGCTTGGTGTCATCTGCAAATTTGATGAGTTCCCCATCTATCCCTTCATCCAAATCGTTGATGAAGATGTTGAAGAGTACTGGGCCCAGAACAGAGCCCTGGGCCACCCCACTACACACTTCCCTCCATATAGATGCAGTTCCATTGAGGACCACTCGCTGAGTACGGCCGATCAGCCAGCTACGGATCCATCTTGTGGTGATGCTGTCTAACCCACATTTTTCTATCTTATCAAGTAGTAGGTTGTGATCTACTTTATCAAATGCCTTACTGAAGTCCAAGTAAATTATGTCCACAGCATTCCTCTGAACCACTAATTTTGCCACTTGGTCAAAGAATGCAATAAGATTTGTCTGGCATGATCTATTTTTGACAAACCCATGTTGGCTTTTAGTAATGACTTTGTTTGCCTCTAGGTGTTCGTTGATTCGTTGTTTGATTATCTTTTCCAGGATCTTCCCAGGTATTGAGGTCAGGCTGATAGGTCTGTAATTTCCTGGATCCATTTTTTTTCCTTTTTTGAGGATGGGAACTACATCAGCTCTTTTCCAGTCCTCTGGTAGTTCCCCAGTGCTCCAGGATCTTTGAAAAATATAGTTAAGTGGTTCCGAGATCACATCTGCCAGTTCCTTGAGAATCTTGGGGTGTAATCCATCTGGTCCTGGTGATTTGAACTTGTCTAGGCTGGACAAGTGCTCACTTACCATTTTCTTGCCTATCTTAACTTGTGTTTCTAATCTGTTTTTTATGGTACTGCTATTGATAGGTTGGATTGTTTTTTCCCTTTGTGTAAAGACAGATGCAAAAAACGAGTTAAATAGTTCTGCTTTCTCCCTGTTGCTTGTCACCTTCTTGCCACTTCTACCCACTAATGGACCAATCATTTCCTTCACTTTTTTCTTGTTTTTTACATGTTGAAAGAAGCTTTTTTTGTTATTTTTGACTTTGGTCGCAAGCCTTAGTTCATTTTGAGCCTTGGCTTTCTTCACTTCATCTTTGCAGGCTCGGGCTATTTGCTGATATTCTGACTTAGTTATGTTCCCCTCTTTCCACTTTCTATACTTGTCCTTTTTATCTTTCAATTTGTCAGAGAGTTCTTTACGCAGCCATGCTGGTTTCTTTTGAGAGCTGTTGTTTTTCCTCTCTGTTGGTATTGTGCTAGACTGTGCTTTTATTATCTCATTTTTCAAAATTTCCCAAGCTTCTTGAGTTGTTTTCCCCTTGAGGATTCTCATCCATGGAATCCTTCCCAAGCCCACTCTAAGTTTATTGAAATTAGCTCTCTTGAAGTCCAAGACTCTAGTTTGACTGTGTTCTATTGCTTGTGTTTCTATAATGTTGAATTCTAATATTGCATGATCACTTCCTCCCAGGGTTCCTATGGCTTCAACACCTTCTATCATTTCATCTCTGTTAATGAGAATTAGATCCAAAATGGCTAATCCCCTAGTTCCCTTCTCTACTTTTTGGGAGACAAAGTTTCTGCTAGGTTTGCCAGGAACCTCTTTGATCTTCCACTTGGTGCGGAATTTGTCTCCCAGTTGATGTCAGAGTAGTTAAAGTCCCCCATTACTATTGTGATGTGCTTCCTATATACCTTAGTTAGCTGTTTCATCTGTTTCCTCTGTTTGGTTGGGTGGTCTGTAGTATACACCTATGGCAATGTCATTTCCCCCCCCCTTTTATATTGACCCAAATGCATTCAAGACAGTTTTTATCATTGTTGTGCTCTATTTCTGTGGAGATGTAGTTATTTCTTATATAGAGAGCAACTCCACCTCCTCTTTTATTTGGTCTGTTTCTTTTAAATAATTTAAATCCTCTAGCTGTGTGTTCCATGTGTGGGTTTCATCCCACCATGTTTCCGTAATGGCAACAATATCGTATCTGCCCTCATTAACCTGAATTTCTAGTTCACCCTATTAAAACTAATATGGTTGACTTGATAGAGGATCTGCAATTAAATTGGATAAAAATGAAGCCCTGTTAGATACCCTGGATCTTTTGGTACTTTCAGTACATTGGCCTTGGAATTGTTCAGATTGCTAGGTGGGATTAGGCTTTGAGACACTGTTCCTTTATGGCTATATCCAGAAGATTGTTTAACACTTATGCTGCTGATTGGTGACAGCTCTCCAAGGTAAACTAGATTAGGAAACTAAAATGATGCAGGCCAATTATAGGTTTACAGTAATAGAATCTTGCAAGTCTGAATGTTCTTCCCTCCTCTCTCCCTTTATTAGGGTCTTCCCTGAGATGTTTTCAGGTTATTGTTGTGTCCTGAACTTAGATTTATCTAACCTTTGTCTTGGTAGCAGCACTTCCTCTAGTCCCTCAAAATCATCATTTATGAGTGTAAGGCATTGGGTGGGATGTCTTTAGTACCCTGATGGTACCAATCTCTGATGCTCCTTACTTCTTAATTCCAAGGAATAATTGGTTCCTTTGACTATTGCCTAATTCAGTAATAGACTGTGTTTGTGTGTGTGGTAGGAACAGGCTGAAATGAAATCCAGACCCTGCAATATTAATTCTATACCAATGATTCCACATGGATTCCCAGTGGTTTACATATATCAATAAAATCATGAAACCACAAATAACCCACATTCCCATTAAACCTATAATAAATCTCTGTCATAACAACCAGCCCTGGCAACATTGGACACCATATGTTCTTTGGAACATTCCATTTTAACCACCTTTTTAAAAGCTCTTGGGAAATATATCTTTTGAATCTTTATGGAAGGCTGCCTAAGTATGGAGGACATGGTAAAAAAGAACATTTTCACGAGCTTCCCTTCCCAGACCTCACAGAAGTAACCAACAACATCCCAAATCTAGACATGTTCATTGGATGAATGGATACATTTCACTTGAAACAGAAAGCCCCTAAATTATCAAAATGTCGAACCATGTAGCACTTTAAAGATAATGACCAGCACTTTGAATTGTACTCAGATGTCAACCAAATCACTCCTACAACACAGTTAGTCTTCAATTTTAAAAAGCAAAAGATCGTACAACTTGACTATCTAAGGAACTCTTATTTCATTATGAATATGTCCAGCTATTAATCTCTATAGAAGAGGCCCTTTGCAGGTGGCTGTTGCTATCAAAGGCTAATCTTTCTGAGATGCAAGAGAGCCTTTTCTTGTACTGTTCTTCAATTATGGAGTACACATTCTTGGAAACTGAGTTTGGCTTCCATAAGTTCAGTATTGGGAAGAATACTGGAGATGCATCTCTTTTTTTTGCTAAGCTTTTAATCGTTAAATTATTATATATTAATGTTAAATTATGTATCAGCTTTAGTGTTAATTTAAACATGTCAAGTTTATGTTTTTGTTTTAATTTTGCTAACAGCCTTTATCTAGAACAGAAAGGTGAGACGTATATGAAATGAAGTGAATGAGCCCTTTAGAAGATGGCTGGGATACACTGGCTCCCTACATTGGAATGAGGGAGACTGCTACATACTGTTGGCAGTGGGTAGAAGAGAATAAACAAAAGTCTTAGGAAGCAAGGCCTTAGGTACAGTTACAGAATTCTGAGTAGAAACCTTGATGAAACTGCTGGCAACTGTTCTTGTTTCCACTTATATAAGTTGCATTGAGATCGGTACCAAAGAAAACAACCAGGTCAAATACGCTGCATCCCAAGAGGGAGCAGAATCCAATATACTAAAGGAAGCCCTTGGAACACAGTATGAGTTTTTATGAGTTTCGTTTTATGAGTTAATGAGAAAAAGTGAAAGACAGCAATAACAGAGGATTAAGTACTGGATGCCTAGGAGCATTAGTGAAGATTCTCACACTAAAGACACCTCATATTAATTGAAACAGTAGTAGAGCAGCTAAACTTTTTAGAGAATACGTTTATACTAAAACTGAATCTATTCCTCTGGTATTAGCCTGCCTTGACTCCTTGGCAGAATATAAGCTGCAATTCCCCCAAGGAAAGAAATCTCATGTGATTTGCTATATATAGAAATGTTACCACAGCAACTCAAGAAGGAACTATGGCACAGGATTCTTCAACGATGTGGAAAAAAAAAAGTCAACTGAACTGAATATAAGCAGGGCAAGTTGTACTGATCTCCTGAATTCTAAAATTTACTGTTCTTACTTAGCACCAATCTTCACCTTTGCAATGCAATATGTTTGTGGATCCATCAAAATCAGTAGTTGTGTTTCCAGGACATGAAATACAGTACTTTTGTCCAAACTCCGGTTGATACGTTCCACTTGGGCAGCGGATACAACGATGCGTAGTTGTATTGTAAAAGTGTCCAGGTGAGCACTGCACTATAAATGAAAATAAGAAATCAGCTAGGACTAATATTTTGAAAACTTATGGCATAATTTCATCTTAAATTCATTTAACTATTTTTCTGAAAATAAATTTATACAAGTTGATATGCTTATAACCCTGTATAAATAAAAGCTTGTAAGATTTCCATAGTATATCTGCAAATTGGTATAAAAACATAGATTTTACACTATAAAAAGCATAAAGCATAGATTTTCATAATTGTGTTTATTACATAATAGATGCATATAACATTTATGACACAAGAAGGCACACAAGTGAAAAATATATTCAATTTCGTGCGAAAACAAAAAATCGTTATAGGAAGCTCACTATTTGAAATGGCACTGAGATTAAATGTGCCTTGCTTGATTGGAGGATATGCCAATTATTTCTTGCCTAAAAAATTATTTTTGATCTAATGCAGGGTGCAAAACGATATTCCAGGGGGTGCAAAAACTTGAGTTTTCAAAATTATAGTGTACATGCATAATTTGTTGCCGTTATTTCGAACTTTTGTAAGGGGTGCGAGAATATATCAGAAGCGTTCTAGGGGTGCAAGGTATAGAAAAGGTTGGGAGCCGTTGGTCTAATGTAAGATATTTTAAACTAGGTGTTCTTATATTCTGGATGGTGAAAAAGTATTCCTGTAGGTAGTAAAGTATTGTCTATCTTAGCTGGGGAGGGAGGGTTATGGGAAGCTGGCAAGGAAGGTCACAAATGGCAATCGTGACTGGTACAACTCATTCATCATCACTTCAGATGGTTGTTGAACGAATGGTTGTCATTCAAGAACAACCTATATAGAAATTCAGATCAGATCAGAGGGAGGGAGAGATGAAAATTTAGGACTGAAATAAATGATGGTTTAATGTTTTGAAATCTTGCCATTCTTACCTCTAGTCTCACAATCCTGAAACATTGTTGCACTGGTAAATTTTGTCATCAGACCTCCTCCACATGTAAAACAAGATGTCCGACCTGGTTCAGGCTGGTATGTCCCAGAAGGGCATGAAAGACAGGGCTTAAATCCGTCAGCTGAATATTCACCCGGTGAACACTGTCCTGCGGAGTAGAAAGAAGGGTAACAGGGCAGATATAAAAATCTGAAGCAAAATGAGTTTAAAATGATGTCTACATGCAAGAATCAAATGCTAAACTTTTAATATTTGTTAAAACAAAATACAGAAAACAATTTTAAAAATTCCTGTCTCTGCTGTCTCAGTTCTAACACTTACATGTAACTTGATTCAGAGAAACCTATTTCTACAGTAAGAAAACAGTAGCTTCCATTGTACTATATTACCAGTCTCTTTTTCTGATAATAGGTTTTTAATAGGCTTGCTTTTTTATTAGAAAATTAGCAATAACAATAGCACTTAGTCTTATATGCCACTTCATAGTGCTTCACAGCCCTCTTTAAGCAGTTTACAGTGTCAGCATATGGCCCCCACCAATCTGGGTCCTCATTTTACTGACCTCAGAAGGATGGAAGGCTGAATCAACCTTGAGCAGATCAGGATCGAACTGCTGGCAATCAACAGTTAGCATGCAATACTGCTTTCTAACCACTATGCCACCAGGACTCTTGTATTCAAGTGTAATGCACCTAACTAAACTATTACTAATTGAGAATTGGTTCTGAAGTTTGCTAAGTGCTGAAGAATCATTCTGTTTATTAAAAATTCGTATGTGATACTGCAGCAAAAAGGGATTTATTACCCTTGCACAAATACAATGGATTAACTTTTACAAACTGGAGCTATAGCAAGAAGTGTCCTGCTTTCATAACAGAGTTGTGATTCAGTTGCTTCCTCTCCTGCTCCAGCTGTCTGCTAAAGAAAGAGCTTATATTCAAATTAATAGGCTTGTATATATCCATCTTGCAATTCTAGTAAAATTATTAGAGATTAATGGCTTGAAAGAGAGAAAGTATTCTTGTACATAGATAATATAGTACTATAATATGTTATCTAATCAGTAAGATTAAGAAACAAAATGTTTTATTTTAGTTAAATTGCAAACAAATAGCATAGTTTAGTCATTGTGTCCTGGGTCAAACATTTATTCATTCCTACCTTATATGAGTTGCCTTCCTTTATCTGTCTTAAAGTATACAATTCAGAAAAACCAAGCAAAGCTGCAAAATAGGACCCCAACCCAATAAAAATTGTGGGAGTTGTAATCTCAACACATCTGGAGAAGACAAGGTCAGGAAAAGCTGCAAGAGGCATAACAGCTTAATTTTCAATGCTCATCCCTACCAGTTATCTATATAAAAATGGCATGCCGTTTTTTAAGAGAAAAGGAATTATAAATTTTCATGTACCTCCCAATATTCTACCCATCTCTATTTTATGAAGTAATAAGCCCCTTTAGTTTATATGCTGAATTAACAGATAATAAAGAATAGGAGGGTTATCCTTTGTTTGAAGATATTTTAACAATGCCTGGTTCTGCTTATGCTTTATTTCCACAGACCTTGTCTTGAAAACCCATTCACTTTCAGTTCAGTTGAAGGACATTTGCAAGGCAGAAATGACAGTGAAACTATACTCAAAATGTTTTAATAATACATACAAATGCAGGCCATATTGTAAATAGACAATTACATCAAATTCCTATCCCTGGTCTTTAATATCTCTGCTTCTGAACTGTTTTGATGCTCAGATATTATAAAAACAGAGCTAATCTACTAGAACTGATTATATTCATGTTGCCTATAGATTCTCCACATGAATCTGAGTGATGTATCTCCCAATTTTGCAGTAAGCAGATTGCAAAGACAAAACAAGTGATTAAACTGCTTTGTAAGACAATGGATTACTGCTGAAATTGTTTGGCTATACTGTGGAGTTCTTAACTTTTAAAGAGAGGTTAAATCTGTTAGCTTGTGGTTTACAGCTTCAATAAATCACTTCACCAAATGGCTGTTTTTGTTAAGAGGGACTAAATTGGCCTTGGCTTCATTTCAGATTATTTAAGTTTGCCGGGGGGGGGGGGGGGGGGGGGGGGGGGGGGGGGAGAGAGGCGAGAGAGAGGCACTAACTGTTCTTGATCAGGGATGAGGATTTTGTTTACAGCTAATGAGCTGTGTTTAATAGGGAAAACGGCCTAGGCTTATGAATAAAGCAGCAGAAGGAACCATATGCACTCTTTGCAGCAGTGAAGGAAGAAAATGACGTGATAGACACTGAGCCATTAGTCATGACACGAGAGACATGAAGAAAGCATTTCTTTCCCAACACTCTCTTTTTTGAGCTTGGAAGTAACTAAGATATTACATTATATGCAAATCTAAGTTATTTTCCCCAGATGGTGATATTTAATTTGAATCATAGGCTATGCCACTTTCCTTTATCAATAGGCCAACCTAATTGCAGATTAGCCATACCAGTTACCAAACTATGTTTATGGTATCAAACAACACATCATCCACACTTCTTGATTGAAAACTGATAGTTTAAATGTAGAATATGGGTATTTTACAAAATGTTCAGTGTTGATATTTTATTGCGCACTATGCAGGGATTTGTAAATCAAAAGTATAAAATTCATAATAAAATCAAACAAAAAGCCCATTTTTTCTGTACTTGAAAAAAAAATAGAGAATGAGTTGTATCGTGGATCAAAATATTAAGCCAAAATATTTAATCAGAAATATTAAGGGATAGAACATTTTGGGGTCACGTATTAAGAATTGCAGTTCTATTCTACATTGAGGTCTCCTTTATCAAAGAAATTTAGTATGCCAGGAAAAAAGAATATTGTATTAAAATCTAATATATTACTGCAATGGAGATACATTACAATACATTAAAAACAAAGATTGAAGGAAGGTATATTAGATCTTTGCAGTTCTATTTTTCCATCAAGACTTATCCAGAACCTGTGTTACTTATATCCATTAGTATTAAATATTTTCATTATATAATGGATGTGAAGAAAGAGCTGGTTGCAAATATTCTGTATCCCTTTTTCAGTAGTTAAGCAATGTCAGCTAGCATATTTATTTTCTCTATGTAGCCATCAGAGAAGCATTTGTTCATTCAGGAAAATAACCCATCACATAAAAGCCTTGGGAAAGGTTCATAGCCCTAGAAAAGGTAGGAAAGGAATATGCACAGATTCACTTCCACCTATGTCAAGAACAGATCCTGTATGAGAATCTGGACAGCGCTACCTGTTAGAGTAAGTAATATTAGATAAAATGAATTGAAGGAATATTAGGCTAAATAAAAAATAATGAAAATTAGATTAAATGATATCTAGAGCATTTTCTAGAAGTAAAACAGCTGTATTTAAAAATATTTTTCCCCAGAATATTCGTTCCAGAATCATCCTGTACTTCTGTAGTTCCAATACTTTTTCCCATCTTACATGACATTAAATTATATTCACAGAAATGGCTTTAAAGTATAACTAATTTAGCTCTTTCCTTCTTGGAAAATCCATTGAATACATTTAAAAGGCAAAACATAGTCTGATCACTGGATAATATCAACCCACAGTTTTTAAACATTTTAATTGGTATATTCTTAACCATCCAGGAAAAAAAATAAACTACAAGATTTACTTTATTGTTGCCCTGTTGCAAGCAATTGTCTGTGGTCTCTAATATATAGCTTAAATCACTCTTGTTTACCACAGCTCTGAAATACTACCAAGAGGCCCTGGGTGCTTCAGTCAGCAGGGCTGAGTTTAGAATTTAGCTTTTAGTGATGTACTATAAAATCCTCTCTTGAATGAATACTAGGAACACGTCTGGGCAGTTTTACACATAGGCAAACTTTGCTGCTCCAGATGATCCGAAATTGATGTTCAGTAGGTAATATAGGTTATCCTCCTTAGTCTCTGTTGTTGTTAGTTGAGAAGTCATGTCCGACCCATCGCGACCCCATGGACAACGTTGTCCAGGCCTTCCTGTCCTCTACCATCTTCTGGAGTCTAGTATAATCTATTAGTTTCTCTTTAATCCCACTATTCTCTGGGCTACAGGCTACAGCAAGAATGCACTTATCAAAGATCAAGAAGAATTTCATAGCTAGGATCGTGTTGGAAGCTGAGACTTTGCCTTTATTCAGGCAAATATTTCCCAGCAAGATTCTACAGAGATACTTCTATCTTTTTTCTGCCCATTTCAGAGGAGTTAATTATAGGAAGGGAAATGTTAGATTACACCTTTCACAGCCTCAAATCTCTACTGTACATTCCCCTGCAATGAAGAGCAAGCCTACTTTTTCTGTAAATTGTTTAACTAAATTCTAGCACTATAATATTTGTCCAAAGCCTAGTATTAATGAACATTTTTCAGTATGTGTAAAGAGGAAGAAGCAAAGAGGAAGAAGCAACAGCAAGTCTTTCTCTCCAAACACAATGTGTTGCATAACATCCTTACCTCCACATTCAGATATTCTACGAGCACCAACTGCTTTTGAGTCCCCAGAACGTTGAAGATTTGGACAAGGTTCGCAGACAATTTGACCTTCATTGTCTTGATAAGTTCCATTAGGACATAAAATACAACTTTCTTGTTCCCCATCAAAATATGTTCCAACACTGCAGCTAGCTAACAATAAAAGGCAAAACAGTCAGTCACAGTAAGTATTTTCTCTTCAGTGAGAAGGATGAATATTATACAGGGTGAAGCTTTAACGTATGTTTGAATGTACTATTTACAGTTAAAGGTATATTATTTCACTGAATTGCTAACCATCATTATTATTCCTGAACAGCTACTCTACAATGTAAATCTCATAACTATTTTCAGAATTTCACTCATAATGTGCAAATGGAAAATTAATCTTTCTTCACTTAGAGCAACACAATGTTCTGAATGTTCATAACTATAAGGGATATTTTGGAACAGGAAAATGGACTCTTGTCCCAGTATGATTTTCTTTTGAGTTCCTGCAGATGAACCTTCTACTTTTCCTACAGGATTTTTTTTCTAAAAAGAAAAGATGTTCAAGCCATGGCAGGTGGATGTTTTCACCTGCTTTCTTTTGTTCTAGGTCCACATTTTTTTAAAAAAAATTATCTATAAAAACTGAGACATGAATTGTACTAGAAAATCTGTAACACATTTTCAAGACACCTGCTTTCCAGCTGAAATGTACCTTATTTGATCAGCAACATCTCAACTTAAAAATCCCTGGAAGCCAACTGAACAGGATCTCTAACATACCATAGGAATCAACAATTTCCTTTCATAGGATTACAGCTGTTCTTTCAGGGAAATATTTTGATTAAATTCCCTACTAAAGAAATTGGATCAGATTTCTAATAAGACCAATCTGTTTTCCTTCTGACACCAATGTTGAAAATGATGCCAGACAAAGAAAAAGGGGATGTTCAAGTGAAAACATCTGTTTGCTTTAACCCTATTCTTTGAGCTATCCCTTATAGATCACTTCTGAGAGAACGTGGCCCTTGAAGGCAAGAGGATTCTAGACTAATTGCATCACTGAACTACAAGATTAAGCATTCTAAAAAAAAAGAAAGTAGTCACATCAGCTGAGCAATATTCTTCCCAGTGATGCATGGGTTTCAATTAAATAATTATGTATATGTATATGAAGACATTTATAGGATGTCTGCAATCCTATAAAACTGAAAATAGAACCCATTACTGGATTTTTCCTAGCTCTACACATACATACAATGCATAAAACTGGCTGCAATTCTCCTCCTAATATCAATGGGGCTTACATGTTAGTGGACCAGTTTTTTTTTTAAACTAGTGAATCCATAGCTACCGTCTGGGCTTTTAACTACTTAACAGTTTCAACAGAGGCAAGAAAAAAAGAACAGTAATTTAAAATATCATCTTCATATGTGTGACTAAACTGGAGACAAATTTAATTACATAACCAGGAACAGATAGACCCTTTAAAATTGTGAATCCTACTTAAAATAGCAATCTCTTCCACTGCTCAAAATGAAAGCTACATATCAAATAGTTGCTTTAAGCATTCTACTGAGATACTCCTGATACTTTTCTCCAAGGTACTAAAGCAGAAATATGCTGATATAAATAATATACTGAATGACAACTTCTAGCAGCCTCAGCCATCGGGCAGGATCTGGAGGACCAAGAGTTAGATTGTTGCTTGCCTGTATAAAATTTTCCTCTGTGAAGTAATCAACAGCTGTATACTAACTTTTAAAGACATCACTGATCTTTCAGTATGAACAAAATAACAACATCACTGCAAAAAAACATAAGGTGTTCCACAGAATACAAAACCAGCCTTCTTTGAAAACAAAGACCAATAGTTTAGAAATAATGAAACTCCATTAAGGATTCAGCAAACTTTCTGCTTGCTTTTTTCTTTTCTTCAAATGAAGTTAAGAACCATTCACCATTAACAGATTCTGTTCCTGTAACCACCCTTTTCTGTTGTGTTCATTGACCATTAAAACCCCATTCTTAACTTATACAAGAGTTTCAGGGGTGAAATGAAAGCTATTCTGATGCAAAAGATAGATGTGGAGAGAGGCACCCTGAGGGCGCCTGGATTATAAGTTACAAAGACATTTGAAAGCTCTTTCTTCCTATTCAGCCAGTTTTAGCTTTGAGATTTTGGAGCCATGGACAAACACTATAGTGTCTCATTGACTAAGATGGTTAACCTTATAAAAGAGGGTATGATCCACAACTCACCAACCCTTGAAGACCCATGCCCTGATTTCATAAGAAAAAAGACAAATGGATTATATCTAATGGATTATATCTCTAAGCTATATTGTTTCGGAATCTTTGTTGTTGGTGTTTTGGTTTCTTACTGGTCCATAAGCTATGAACATATGGAGAAATTTTGTGCATAAGAACTGGGCCCTGAAATCTATTATTTCTGAAACAGTAAGAACAGTTAGCTGTTATCTCTGATTTAGAAAATACATTAGCTTCTCGTATTCTGCTCAAGACCCTGTTATTTAAAAGGGAAAAAGTAGCAATACACTGAACATCAGACATACAAAACTACATACCGAGTGTACTTGTTTGTATATTTTTATCTTTTTAAACAATTTTTAACAATTAAGATAACAGGATAAGATTTACAATTAAGAAAACAGGAGGAAGGAGTATTAGATATGTTCATCATCTTGAGTTAGTTAAAAAAAAAAAAATAAAGGCAAGATAAACAAAATCCAAAAAGAAAAAGATTGAAACTCTAGTGCAAGTTAATCTGTCTTTGATGAAGAATGACTTCATATTGCTTTCAATAATTTTTTTATTTATTTACTATTATTTATTTGCTGCCTCTTTAAGTGACTTGCTGTCATAAAGGTATCTCATAGATTAAAAATGAATAGAATAGAATAGAATAGAATAGAATAGAATAGAATAGAATAGAATAGAATAGAATAGAATAGAATAGAATAGAATAGAATAGAAGCTGGAAGAGACCTTGGAGGTCTTCTAGTCCACCCCCCCCCCGCTCAAGCAGAAGAGCCTATACCATCTCAGACAATTGACTGTCCAGTCTCTTCTTAAAAACCTCCAGTGATGGAGTGCCCACAATTTCTGGAGGCAAGCTGTTCCACTGGTTAATTGTCCTCATTGTTAAGAACTTTCTCCTAAAAGGTTGCTTCTCTCTTTGATCAATTTCCAACCATTATTTCTTGTCCTCTGGTGCTCTGGAGAATAGTTTGACCCCCTCTTCTTTGTGGCAGCCCTTGCAATTTCTTAGAGATTGAGGGATGCAAATCAAAGGCTGGATTCTTTCTTCCTTTCTCTAGTTCTAGCCGTCTGAAGACATTATATCTTGGCCTACTTCAAAACCCCATTCCCGCTATTGAATGGGACATAATTTCACATAAATCTGGAAGTGAACATGAGTGTTTTCCCCACCTCATTTTCTGGGGTTTCTCAAGAGACGTATAGATTCATTTCAAAGAAGCAAAAGTACAGATTGTTGGCCTGAATGACATCGCATAATATGGGAATATTTCCAAACAGAAGAGAGGAAAGCAAAAAAGCTTGAGCTTCCATAGAATTCATTCTTATTGTATCAGCTAGTTTTCCATATAATCCAAAATATAGCTATTAATCCTGTCAATTTGCTATTGAAACATTTGTTTTGGAACCTCATATTTCCATTGTGTTTTTGTAATCATAGTTCTTTTTTAGAGTTTTTATTTTAAAATATGTATCAAGGATTTCACTGCTTTCAGTTCAATGAACTCATGGAGTTAAAACACATGTTTCTAAATAAACATCTTTTGTACCATGTTTTCGTGATAAATGGGATAAACAATAAAGTTCACAGTGAATACAGTACTAAGTATTATGAAACTGACAGATGCTTTCAGATATTGGGGGAAAAAATGAAAAATGAATAGAAAATAAATTACAAAGCTTAGGTCGGAGACAATGGAATAGAGATAACAAAGAGGACTTACACTGAACCCAAGGAAAATAACCTTGACATAAGATTATTTTTCCACAAATAATTTTTTGTGGTGCTGTAAAATGTAGAATTCTAGCATTTATTGATCTAGTCATTCCTTCAATAGCTGCATGATTTTCTGATATTGTGAGTGTCAGATCAAATAACACAAAGAGAATGAGATGCACATCCGAGAGATCAATATTAATTTCTGTTCCTTCTACTTACCACATTTGTTATCCAGGTGCTTTTGACCTAGGCTGCAGGGATCCTGGGTATCTACTGCTCTGGGAGGCTTTCGAGCCATGCCATGATCTACACCAGAGAGGCGAATATGGAACTGCTCTTTGTTGATGACTTTCCGCAAAGTTCTAATAGCTTTACGAAGCCTTTTCTCAGTCCTTTTACGTGCACAGCTCAAATTACACGTATCTAGAAAGGAGCAGGTAGCAGTGATTAGGAGCAAAAAGCTTGGATATATAGAACCATAACTTAAAAAAGGTAGCTGGTACAGCAACTGAGAAGGCAGCCTGCCTAAATAATGGCAACAAATATTGTCCTGAGGTGAAATTTTCAAGGCACACAAAACAGACAAGAACAATAACATCTTTAGCCACAGTAGCTTTCTGATCATATGGAAAAGACCTCTTAAGCTTCAAAACAGGAGATACTTTTTTTCTTTTTTGCATAGAAATGGAAATGAAAGAGAGAACAACTCAAAAAGATCAAACTGCAACAAAGCTCTGTCAGAAATGAAGCCTTTCAGTTGTACTGTGAGTTCTTTTCCAACCAACCTGCCACCTCCTTTTGGTCTGTTTCAAGCTCAAAGTCTGCAGTTATAAACATTTCTCTAGCTGCCTTCATTCTGCTGAGGTCTCCAACAGTTTTCTTGCCAGAACTGCATGTTAGGTTTACATAGTAGAAGTTCTCCATTATTGAATTATGTTTCTCTGTGTGGACAAAATTAAAGGAAGCAGCAACTTGGCCAAATTTGTTACTGGGCATTTGCTAAAGCTTGATAAATATTGCTGAGTATGCAGGGTTATATGATTAATTCCAGATGCTTACAAATGACAAACAACTGCAGCTACCAGTTTGGATATTTAGAATGTCACATACCAGCAAACTGTTTTAGAAACATTTATAGTTATATCCCAAATCCAAGAAGAATTGTGAATCATTACAACAACAGAAACCCACAAATCCTATCAAGTCATAAATGATCTACAGAAACAACCATTTTAAACTATGCACTGTCATTCATACCTGGTATTACATGGTGAAGAGCATCGTGAAACATCTTACTCTTTTTCAAGTTACATTTTCCTTGAGTAAACTTAAAAGTTACAGTTGTCCTGATGATAGAGAGATCTTCAGAAAGAAACAGTAAAATAATTATTTTCAAATTAACTGAATTCATTACCAAAACCAAGCAGGTAATATAGATGGCTTCCACATGCCTCATTTAATTCTCTATGTATATGGTTTATGGGTCTAGTCCCCAGAGCATCTTGTTTTCTTTCTTTCATTATCTTAACTTTTTCCTTTGCATTTGATATTTTAATTTTCTTTTTAGCCACTTAGAATTGCAAGGCAAGTAGGTGGCCATATAAATGGAATAAACAAGCAAATAAACTATGCAAAAACTCCTCATCTCAAGAGAGAGTCAAAAAATGAAAGCAAACAAGCCAAGCCAAAATATATAGTACACTGAGGGTATAAGAATATTTGAAGTAACTAAAGAACTTGCATCAAACCACATTGTCTAACCCAAAGCCAAACAAATAAAATTATTAGTGGTAGTATAACCAGATTGTTATAATAACCCATATTATAGTTTGTTTTGGCTAACCATGTCTGAACACAGACACTGTGGTTAGTTTACAATTGATGATAGATTATGGCTGAGTTTAGTCAATTTAATAATAAAACATACAGCAGCAACTTTCATCCACTTTAATGGCAGATGATGACTCTAAGCTATGTGTCATGCTAGCCCTTAGCAAATGTATCATGCTAAGTTTAGATAAACATGTTGTACCCTGAAATCAGCTGCTTGCTCTGATATTCAAAACTTTTGATGTGAAATCATTAAGACATGGTGAATGTTTAAAATAAAATTAAAACAACACTACAGCTGCAGCATCAGTCAAGTAACTGACTAAAAACCATCAATTTAAAAGTTATATTTTAAAATATATGTGTTTTTTAAATTGCTTACAAAAGGCACACATGAAAGCGGTATCTTAAAATATTTATCCTATTTCCCTCCCCAAAAGCAGCAATGCCTTTTCTATTCTTCTGGTTGCTGCAAGATGCAAAAAGAATACATTAAAACAGACAAAAGTTATTTTAAAGAAAATTAAAATCTGCTCAAACACAAGAAAAATTAGGCAAGTTAATTAACTAATTGAGCAATATTTCCTTTATTGGCAAGCAGGCCTACAAATAAACCAAAACAAAACAGAAACAAATCAGCCATAAATGTTTAATATATTTTGAAAACATGCATATAAAATAATTACCTAAAGTAGTTGATTCATTTGGATTTTGTATTTTTTTCTTAGGTGATAAAGGGTTGCCACATTTTATAGTATAGGAATCTTCCAGGCCTAAGAGACAGATCATAAGGCTATACAATAAAACAGAAACACATGCTAGAGCATGGCTGAAATATACCCCTGAAAGCTCATTCTCATATAGCAACAGGAAAATTGTGACTCCTCAGCTATTGCTGAACTACATTTCCCAGCATGGTCTATATTAGCTGGCACTGTTGAGAATTACAGTTCAGCAACATATAAAGGACCACAACCACTTTATCCTTGCACTAATATATAAACAATGCTTCAAGACTACAAAAATATTATCTTTAGTCATTGGATAAAAGATGAGCGGCAAATTTTATAAATAAATAAATAAATAAATAAAACCTGTATTTATTTACACAATGATGTAGACTCCATTTACTAAACGAGAGGATGAAAGTTCTGTATTGTTGCAAGTTATTCAAAATCACTCTGACATTGAATACAGTGAATCAAAAATACTGTTTGTCAGATCAGATTATCAGTCTCAACACGCGCACACACACACACACACACAGAGAGAGAGAGAGAGAGAGAGAGAGAGAGAGAGAGAGAGAGAGAGAGAGAGAGAGAGAGAGAGTTTAAAAAAGAAATTGTCTTCTGAGTACCTTATCTGAGTTTTATTTAGTCTGACGTGTGTCAGACAAACTGTCCTATTTCAAGGTCTTAAACTCTTTAATACAGTTTGTAATATGCAGTTACAAGTTTTGCACTTTTATCTGTTTAATAGTCCCTATCCCCTAATTTCTGAGACACAGTTTGTGTTAGATAAAATCTGTATGTTTGTGTAAATGTTTGTATGTTATACAAATCTATAGCTTGGAATTGCCTGGCAAGCGTAATAACAAGTAATGTTCTTTATCCATTGTGCTTTTTTCTTAGAAAACACAGATCTGACATTGATCATATGCATTACTAGTCATGGCACCGTTTTGATACATGGCCTTGCTTATTCCCATGAAAATAGACTACAGTTCTGAAATTATGGAATTGCAATAGGACATATGTAAATCAGGGTAGAACTCTGGAGCCCTTGGTGCTCTCACAGAAAACATAAGGCAGACAATCATACCACAGATCAGAAGAACATAGAAGCAGAACCAGCTCAAAGCAGAGACTTGCCCTAAAACACCTAAAGGACTAAAAAGACTATTCTGCCAGCTGACGAAGACTGAACCATGGTTATCGTGGACAGAAGGACAAAGAACCTAACTTAAATCTCAGTAAACACCAACTCAATACAGAAACTAGACAATTAGATCAAGAACATTCTTAATGATCTAACCAAGAAAAGTCAAATCACAAAAGAATCATAGTGGTAGATGAAAAGTAGTGCACCAAAATCCTATGTTTCTATGGATACCCAAAGATACACAAGCCCAAATACCTCTTCATCAAACTATATCATTACCAGAGACCCCAACCTAGCAAAGAACTTACAAAAAAAGCTTGGACAACTCACAGAGGAAAGTGAATATTCTATCAACTCCCTACCACAGTGTTTCCAGAAAAGCTAGATTTCAAAACTGAAAGTAAAAGGGCAAGGGATTAATTTTATATCTTGATCTGAGATAATGTGATATAAAAATTGACTTAAATGCTTTATTATCTCCTATACAGCAAGAATTTGAGGTCCAGGAACCAGAGACTCCACTTGTTGGCATATTCTCTAGCACAAACCCCAGTCAAATAATTCAAATAGTGAGTAGAAATTTTTAAAGCAATGTAATCTTACTTTTCCCCTACACTAGTCAGAAAGGACACTATTAGATAATATTTCAGAATTTCATGCTATAGGATTATCTTCAATGGAAAGCCATGCTGCTAGATGAAAGAGAATTCCTAGAAGGTTGATATTCAGACAAATCAGTTATCGATAGATCACATTTACACACTATGCAGAAGAGACAATAAAAAAAGCTAGGAAGAAAAGAAACAGACCAGAAAAAAGACATCCTTTCCATTAGCCAACACCTGGATAAGCAGCGTTACCACCAGACAAACAATCAAACAAAAAACAATAACCAAATCAAGAAACTACTAAGGAGAAAACCACTCCCTACAATACTGGAAGGGAAGCTACTCTATATAAACAGGGAGCAATCCCATTTAATACCAGTGATGATGTTACTTAAATAATGAAACATATAGACCACAGGTCGGCAACCTGCGGCTCCGGAGCCGCATGCGGCTCTTTGAGCCTTCCCATGCGGCTCCCAGCCTCCTCTGCCTTTGCAGAGAGAGACAGAGACAGAGAGAGGAATTGCGCTTCCCTGCTTCTCTCTCTCTCTCTCTCTCTCTCTGTGTGTGTGTGTGTGTTGTGTGTGTGTGTGTGTATAAAAAAAAGAGAGTGCACTCACAGTGTTCTCCGAGGAGCTGAAAAGCTTACTGGGCGGAGCTCTTCCCTTTGCTGCGTCTCTGCAGGAAGCAGGAAGGGCAGGAGAGAGCTAGCTAGCCCAGCTAGGCTGACTCAGGAATTCTGGGAGTTGAAGTCCATGAGCCATAAAAGAGACGAGGTTGCCTACCCCTGATCTTGTTGGACAACAGCCTGAAGCTTGTCAGGTGAGCAGCAGATAGGAGAGGGGGGGAGAAAGAGAGAGAGAGAGAAAGAGAGAGAGGGAGAGAGAGAGAGAGAGAGGAAAGAGAGAGAGAGAAAGAAAGAGAGCGGGGGAAGAGGAGTGGCAGACCAAGGGCAGCTAGAGAGGGAGAGAGAGAGAGAGAGAGATCCTTTTGACATCTAAAATGAAGATAACACTGCATATATCCTTTTTTTACCTGTGTGTGTGTGTGTGTGTGTGTGTGTGTGTGTGTATGTATGTATATATATATATATATATATATATATATATATATATATATATATATACATACATACATATAAATATACATATATATATATACACATACACACACATACATATACACACACAAACACACACACACCTATAATAAAGGTAAAAAAGGATATATGCAGTGTTATCTTCATTTTAGATATCAAAATGGTTTTGCGGCTCCCAGTGTTTTGTTTTTGATGGGAAACGGGTCCAAGTGGCTCTTTAAGTGTTTTGGGTTGCCTACCACTGATATAGACAAATAACCAAGTTCATAGAGCACAAAAAACTCCACAACTATTGAATCTATAACCAAGCATATAATGAAACACAGCAGTTTAAGGAAGTTTGCTGTAGTCAATTCCAAAGTGACACAAAAATGCCACGCACATTTTTTCAACCTGAAAGAAGGGTTGAAAGCTCAGAGAATAGAGGTCTTCTAAAAGATCCAGGTTATCAAATGATGAGCTTTTAAATAATGAAATTAAATCAAATCAAATCAAAATATTAGGCAGATAGGATTAGTCACTCCACACCCTTTATTTCCATCATGTTTTCTACTACTCTCTCACCATAAAAGCAAGTTCCAGTTGCTATTTTCTTACCTTTAATTGATAGAAACAAGAGGAAGATTTTTGCTTCCATCTGTTTTTTCCATTGTCCTAGCTAGATTACCAGGATTCATAGGAAAGGGCCTTCTGAACCACACTTGACTGATTTATATTTTTCAAAATGTTCATTTCAATAGGCACAAGGGAAATCACACAGCTTTAAAGCTCCACATATCTTTTCTATCCTTTGGCAAATTTTAAAATTGTTTCATAAGAAGTCTACAACTCTCCAATATCTGTTAGTTGACTAGTTAGCAGAGGACGGTTTTCAAGGAAGGCAGTCCAGATAAATTTTAATCTAAGCACTTCTGCTGCTAAGTAACTTGTGGACATAGTAATGAAATATATTTTTCTTACAGCACATTTATAGACAATGTTTTTAAAAATATTCTGTGTTGCCATCAACTGATTTCTATGTCAATGGTGAACAATTTGCTGCTGTTTCTTTCTATAATATAAAACTACCAGGTTATATAAATATTATGCTTCATTTCAGGAGCAACTACCAAAGGATTATTGGAAGAAAAAGCTTCAACGTACATTTGTAGAACAGAAAATGAATACAATTAAAATATATTTATTACACATAGTCCTCAACTTACGACCACAATTCAGACTGAAATTTTTGTTGGAAGTCATTTAGTCACCATGTAACTGGACCCCATTTTATAACCATTTCTATTATGGTTGTTAAGTCAAGTCACCACTGTTAAGCAAATAATGTGGTGGTTAAGCAAATCCAGCTTCCCCATGGTGTTTGTCTCCAGAAACCTATAAAAAACATTCCAAATAGTGATCACATGACTGTGGGGGGGTTTAGTGCGACGGTTTGTAATGGTGCAAATTGAGATCATAAGTAATATTTTCATAGGCTATCATAATTTCTCATTAAGTGGGAGGGATGATGGTTTCCAATGATCATAATGTAAGTCATTAGTAATTTTTTCAGATCCTGTCATAATTTGAAATCATCATTACATGAACAGTTACAAGTTAAGGATTATCTATTCAAAATGAATTCTCCTATAATATATGCAAATACATCAGAGTTATCTAAGTTATTCTTGTTTCCCTAATTTAAGAATAATAATAATTGCAATAGCAACAATAATAACAATATCTCCCGTGTTCTGCATGACTTACCAGAAGCAAAATGGACATCCGAGAGGCAGATTAAAAAGCATCTATCATTTCCACCAGTCTTAATGCAGCGCAGAGATACTTTGGGGGAAAGGACATCAGACAAGGGCCTTTCTACAGAGCAAAACACAGACACTCACAGGACAAGAAAGCTAACGGCAGGCATGGTTCTAAAATGCAAATATGAAGTTACATGTTACATAATCACTATCAATTTGCACATATGCTATTCATAATACTGGGAATGAAGACATACACACAGTGTATTATAAAAAGCTGAGGCGGGAGGAAGGGGTCATGCAGATAACTGCAAAAGGAAAAACAGCCTAGATTAAAAGCACAGGAAAGAAAGCATCAAAGACCGGAAAGTATCTCCTGTTTTTGTTTTATCAGCTAATTAGAAGCAATGTATTGCTATAGATCTACAGTAACTTTTAGGAGACCTGAATGCAATTTGGAAGACCATTCATTGTTTCAGTCTGCATTGTTCCAAGAATCTGGTTGGCCACAAGTATTAGGGTAATAAAAGGAAATGTACAGACACATTCCCATATATTATGTGAAGTGCACAGAACTTCAAGTGGTCCAAAGCTGCAAAAAGGTTTGAGACTCTGAATCTTACCCACACAGTCCTTTTTGTTCCAGTGTAATTTATACCCGGCATTACAGTGGCACTGATAACTACCCAGTGTATTTATGCAGATATGCTGGCAGCCTCCATTGTTCATGCTACATTCATTGATATCTACAGAAGAAGAATGAGGGGGGAGTAATTGATGCTGTTCTGAATTTAGTTGGCAAAGAACTGCATATGGATAACTACTGCCAGGCACACAATACATAAAGAGCTAAATATGTTTTTCTGCAGCATGGATATTTTGATACCGTTGCCAAAAACTTAAAACATGCATTTGCACGCACAGACCAGCTTTTTCTGGAAACCTCTCACAAAATGTTCAGGACAAATGACTGGTACCCAGTTGATGATTGTTTGATGGGCCATCAAGTTGCTGTTAATTCTTAGCAACCACATACATCTGTACAGTCAAAATTTAACAAATTTGATTTTAAGCAATTTTCATTAAAATCAGAAGGTAAGGTAGCATATTTCAATGAAGACAATGAGTCACAATGAAGAACCACACTTGCCCTGAAATAAAATGTAGGAACTGCATCCTTCTCTTGGTAAAGATGTCACTTTGAGTGAAAATACAATCAATAAAAGTAACAACACAAAACTATCCCTAACCACAAGAACTACTATCAACCATTTTTGGAGCTTGTGTTTTTCTGATTGCCAGTTCTTTAGGGACATTGACCACCAGTTGATTATGTTAAACAATCAAGATAAATTTATTTCTATAAGAGTAGCAAAATTTTGCTACATTATGTGTGTAAGCTTCACCCATAAATACATGGTTGCTAATAGTTCTTGTTGTTAGGTGATAGTTTTTTGTCTTTTCCTTTAACTGATTGTACAATAATTAAAAGCTAATATGGACCAGGGCAAATGTATATATGATGCCATTTTCCTTGTTGGTTCATACTCTTCCTAGATGCCTGTTTCATTTAATTTCTCCACAATTTATTTTATCTTTTCTTTTATAGCTATCTTATTTATGTGACATCTACATATAACACACATTATCCATTTCTTAAAACCATTCTGGGTTAGCATTTAACCTTGCAGATAATTACTACATGCCATAATTAGTATTGCCAACAGTACTTTGCAAGCATGATCTGCAAAATCCAACTCTTAGTACCTAAGTGTGGAATGCAACTATTTGTTCCAAAACCCACAGCTGCTTTCCAGTAAAAGTAAGAAAGAAAAGTTGTTTTAAGGAATAGTCTAATGTGTACAGATTCAGGCTCCTACTTCAAACCACCCGAAAAACAGAAAGGCAAATAATCTGAAAAATCTGCAGCACGGAGTTTGAAATGCACATTTCCTTTTCATGTTGAGATCATAGAAACAGAATTCCAAACAAAATGCCAGCAATACGTTTATATACACTCACCGCCACAATGTGTGAAGCCAAAAAGAATGTATCCTTCATTGCAAATACATTCAAAAATGCCTGGATGATTGATGCACAAATGGTCACATGTCCTTTCAAAAGAACATTCATCAATGTCTGCAATTTAAAAGGGATGCTTTATTACTTCACATTTTATTGAGGAGACATTAATGAACTAGGAAAGTTGATTTAAAAGTGGAGGATAGGCTAGACTAATAACAACTCACTGGAAACATTTATTTGAATTAATAATCCACCCAACTCCAATAGACTCTGTTAAGCTCACAATGTTAAGATCACAATGCAGGTCATATATCATGCAAGCCAAAGTACTGAAGTATTGCTCTCAATGTGAATTCTTCCTGTTTCTTAAACTATTTTTTTTGTTAAAGTAAGATATTATTTAATTTCTTGTATTTCATGAAAACACTGAACTACTTGTCATAGATAGAACATACATCCAGTTGTAATTACATATAGATGTAGAATTAACATCATTCTGATTTTCCTGTATTATCTAGAAAAAAAATGTTCCCATAGGTGAGGTTGAAAAAAGTAGCAAGGAGAATGATTTATCTCATCCTCCAAATCTGCCTATCTTCCAAATATGAATTTCTGCCAGCAGTTTTGAGTTCCCGAATGTGTATCTCATTGCATATAAGAACAAAAACTTAAATGGTGAGAGGTTGGTTCCATCTCTGTCCATCTTCTGGAACCCCTTAAAACCTGGTAGTGTTTACAGCCCTGGGGCTCTCAAGGGAACAGTAATCTGATGAGATGGTTCCATTGCTCATAAGAAATTATGCTCTCTCCTAGCCTTTTAATAATTTTTATTTTTATAATTGTTGGTTTTTACAAAAATATTATCATTTTATTGCATGTTGCAGAGTCACATTTTGTAAGATGAGTAATCATATAAACCACAAAGTACCTTGAAGGAATGTAAATAGTAGGAAAATAATGGCATGACAACTTTCTATCCCAAAAAACACCACAGCCTGTTTCCAACCACAATTTGGAAGTAGCTTTTCCAGGGTAAGCAGGGCAATTAGAACAGGCAGATTTGAACACCTCCTATTTCCCCCATTTAAGCTTGTTCTGCCTCATTAATACCTGCTAGAATTCCTCTTCAGCATTTAAGATCTAAGCCGATTGCCAAAGCAGGACTTGGTCATAGGATACTCCCACTGGCAGAAGAAAGACTAATTTTCCTGTTTCCCTTTCTCTTTGCAGCTCCTGTTGTCCCAAATATGTTTCAAAAGAATAAAACCAGGTTTGATGAAAAGACAACGGGAGCAAACCATGAAAATGATTTTCCTCCTTTTCCATCAATGACAGTACCCATGTGGGACACTCTGCTAAAGGGACACTCTGCTATAAAGCATCATTCAGGATCCAAGCCCCAGATCTACCTGCAGTCAAAAGAGTTTTGGATTCTAGAGAACTTGCAGCTGAATAATGATATCAAACGTGAAATGTGAATTGTTGGGAAAATACGTACAAGGACTATCGTGAGCTTACACGTGAGATGTTTTAAATTATAATATTTAAGCTTGGATTTATATTTTATATTTGTCTTCATTGTCACATTTGTCTTAATAAGATGACTTTAGAAAAATTGTACAGAAAGGCAATAATAATTTTCAAGATAAACTATCAGTACATCTGCTGAGAATATATTTAATCTGTTGCTATCAATGGAACATTGATATTAATACTATCAATATTCAATCTATTATTATCAATAGGCTATTTTCACCTAAAATTGGGTATATTCAGGACATTCTCAGCCAAAAAGGAAATATTTGTCCTGTAATCTTAGGAGAATCAAACCAAGAATTCCACTGATAGCAATCAATTCTACTTTTGGAAAGTCACAGTTAATTATGGTTCCAGATGGTTATTCTGAAAGTGAATCATACTTGCCAAACAGATTAAACTCTGCTTATTATCATTTTGCTAAATTACTTTGTGCTAATTAGTCATTCTGTTAATGTAAACATAATCCATAAATAGTTTAAATTTCTCTCCCTGAAATTAATGGAAATTTAGAACACTGACAAGAAGATCTGAAATTCATTTCTAAGTATACCCTATGTCAATGTTTCTCCACTTTGGTCTCTTTAAGATATGCAGAGTTCAACTCCCAGAATTCCCCATCCAGCAAGCATATATATATTATTGCTTCCTCCCACACATACCTTGACACAATTTTTCATCAGTTAGTAATTTAAAACCTTTTTTGCAGCTGCAATCAAAACTACCAATTGTGTTTTTACAAAAATGATCGCATCCACCATTACTGGTCTGGCATTCATCAATGTCTATAAGAAAGAAAAGGAATGATAAGTGATATAATAAGCTTCATTTCTTTTTCCTGAAAGATTTAAACATGTGTCACAGCCTTGAAAGCAAATTAGTCAAAAATCTTTTAGTGTAAGAAACATACAAGATTTAAGTGATCTTTTCCTTCTAGTTTTGCACAATTTTTTCAAAAGCAATCTTCTTTGGAACAACTGTCTTGTATCACAAGGTTTAAAATGTGATTATAGTAAGTCCTTGCTTACTGAGTACTTGTTTAGCGATTGTTTGAAGTTGCAACGGTACTGAATGAGCAATATTTTTTACAATTGGTCTTCAAATTTCTGGCTGTTGCAGTACTTCCATGGTCATGTGATTATGATTCAAGAGCTTGTTGAGTGGGTTGCATGTATGGCGACCTTAGTTCCATGGTTACACAATAGTCATTTGTGACTTTCCCTGCTGAATTCTCACAAGCAAAATCAATGAGAAAAACCTGCAGCATAGGTTGCAAGTTGCTCTGATAAGCCTGCCTGGCCTCCCTGTGCTTGCACTGTGCCATCCACCCGGTGGCCTCATTGCACTCAAATGTTATTCAGCCCCTCCGGTCTCTCTGCACTTACACTATGTCAAACCATCTACCCACTGGCCTTCCTGTACTTGCACATGGCCTGTCCTAGGCCTCTCCCAACTCAAATGCAGCCTGCACCGGCCCTCCCAGGGCCTCCTCCAATCCTGTGGCACCCCCATACTCCTTATCTGGGATTCTCACTGCTTCCTGTTTAACAACCCATGCATCTTGGGATTACAACTGCCATTGCTAAGCAATGTGGTCACATGACACCATGCTTTACAACCACATGGCTTAGCAGTGGCAGCCCTGATTCCAATTGCTATTGTACCTGTACTTGTTTTTGTACACAATAATTCATTAGAGAAACTTACATCAAAATTATATATTTATTTATGGGTGAAGAGCAAAACCTTTATAAGATAAGAATTGATGGAAATTTGAATATGAACAATTAAAATATAGAGTAACTAATGGAATATATAACAATATCTAATCAAATAGCAATGCAAATTCCACATTAAGCATTCCAGCATTAGACCCAATTCTTCCTTAAAGCAACTGTTACTGAGCAGAATTTAGCAACCTTCCTATTTTAGAAAAATGAATCTCCTAGCAGAAAGCAAGCATTATTAGAAAAGAAAGCTAAGATTGGTACATGGGATAATGTAGCATTAAGAACTGAGTCAGTTGATATCTTTGAACAGGATGGGAAGTGGTCTTGTAGAGAATGAATCTTCCAGATTCATAGATGGTATAGTATTACCTGAAGCCAAGGAAAACACATCTCTGTATGAAACAGAAAGAATATTAAATATATAGTTGGCCAGAACAAGCAGCCTACTGCATATACCCTACTTGCAATAATGGACAGTTAAGACTTCATTCTTTCTGAAAATTAGATCCCCCATACTTTACGTATCTCTTACGATATTTTCTCCCTTGCTGGAATGAGAGTTAAACTGATAGGCCACAATAACTTAAGTCCGGTGGTGAGATTCAGCCAGTTCGCACCAGTTCGGTAGAACCGGTAGCTAATTTTTTGTTGCCCAGGTCCAGAACAAACTTCTGGAAGAGGCATCCACACAAAGAAATGGTTGTTCACATATTTGAATCCCACCACTGCTTAAGTCTATACCCATATTTTGTTTCTCAGAAGAAATAAATTTGCCAATGAGGGGTGTGTGTGTGTATGTGTGCGCATGTGTATGCTTCACTTCATTTTTAACCAATACATTCTTAAATATACCTCTAAGCAATAACAACAATAACAACTTTTAAACATAAGAGAGCATCTGACACACAGAAGGGAACATGAAGCAAGCTTATTATAAAATAATCTGAGTTGCTTCTAAAACTGTTAGGAATTATCATCTACAAGAAGGGAACATATGATGAAATAAACTTCAAATGTTTTGTATTTTTGATGTACATTGTTGTAAAGTACAGCTTGTCAATTTTCTGTCATTATGCTTTTTCCATACCAATTTCTACTCATTCTTTTATGAGGTTATTCTTATTTTTTAGTATTTTTTCATAGAGGACTTGTACTTCTCTTCACGGTTGTTCTTCCTTTACTCTAGCTTCTTTCATCTCTTTCCTTTTCTTCCACGCCTATTTCTATTTTTCTTAAGATCCATTCTTGACAGTATCAAAAAATTCCTGTCCCATTTCTAAAACTTCACATCACTTTTACATTCTTCATTTACAGGTACAGTAGTTCTCACTTAATAATGGTAGTTGAAACTGGCAACTCTGTCACCAAGCAATGTGATCATAAAGTGTGACATCAAATAATTATGCAGACTTATGATAGTTCCAGCAGTCCCAGAGGTTGTCATTAGGCAAATTTTGTGTGGTCTAGCATTCTGTGATCACGTGATTGCCATCTGTGACCTTTTGCTGGCTTTTCCATTGATTTTGCTTGTCAGAAGCTTGCACTGAAGGTTGCAAATGGTGATCACATAAATGCAGGTTGCTGTTAAGTGCAAGACAGTTGCCGAACACCTGCATCACAATCATGTAACCATAGGGACACTGCCTCAGCAGCAACTCAGTGCCATTGTAACTTTGAATGGTTGTTCAATGAGGACTATCTATATTCTTTTGAACTTTCATCATAAACAATTGAATCAATTGTGCTTTCAAATTCTTCTTCCCTTTGTATATTACTATTTTATTATTGTTTGTTTAGGAATGCTTATTACAGATTAATTTTGTTGACTATAACAAAATTTGAATTGGTATACTTGCTCTGTAAATTTAACTAACATAATAGCTTTTGGAGAAACTCTGTTGCAATAGGTATTATGTCATACTACCATGTATTCACTCTTAGAGAAACAGAATCAACTTCCCCTTCAATTGAAATAGACAATTCTCATTCTCTCTCTCTCTCTCTCTCTGTGTGTGTGTGTGTGTGTGTGTGTGTGTGTGTGTGTGTGTGTGTGTACGGACGGATGGACAGACGGACGGACGGAGGCAGGCAGGCAGGCAGGCAGGCAGATATAAAACTATCAGAATACTGAGTTTCGGGACAAAATATAATCTTTGCAGATTCACAGGCATTTTCCTTTTTATGGGAAGATAATGTTGCTTTTTAACCATCTCTTTTGCAAACATTGCAACATGAGCAGGAGTCCTGTGCCTACATAATCAAATAACTCTTAGTTTTTTTCATAGTATTAGAAGTAGTTGTTATCTATAGGTGTTTTATTACAGGATGATACATGCAGGAATAATTTAATTTAGTCTGATATATACAGAAATTCTCACCTCTAAGCTCTAGAGTTGTGTTAGCACTGTACATTGTACAGGACAGTAGTGATAACCTTGAACTGAATACAAAAAACAAATTGAACTTTTCACATACATATTTCAGCAAAGGAACAATCAAAGCAACGCCTTGTATACTGCTTTCCTATTTCAGATTTTCTTTTTTTACTGGCTTAGCAAAATTACACTTTTCTGGGGTTTTAGGCAAGAATCCTCTGTAGATATTTAGCTTGCACATTGCCAGGAATATTGAACTTTACCTTTGCATGTCTTCCCATCAAGCTGAAGAGTAAAGCCAATAGGACAACTGCAGTGGACGCCTGTTGAAGTGTCCTTACAAGTCCGATCACAGCCACCATTATTTACTGCACAAGTTTCTAAGGAAAAGGAACACAATTTGAAATGAGATATTTTTATTTAATCAACAGAATGAATTCTGATCGAATTCTAATGTTTAACAAGCATTTTTTCAGAGAGTATCTTAGACTTCTTGGTGATCTCTAAACCAAGTTCAAAGAGCATCAAGAACTTGAGATGTTTGTGCAACAGATAACTTCAGCTTTAAACATGAAAAAAAAATCAAGATAGGTTAACTATAAGTAGAATTACCTACAGATAAGTATTCAGTTTGGTTTCCTTAGGAATCTGAGAAAATCTATAGTGGATCAGGTCTAAGTTTCTATTCCACAAACTGGACATGACTAACTTTTCCCATCTGTATTCCATAGCAACTGATATTCAGTGGTTGGTATTTAGAAGCATATTGCCTCTGATAACATTATACCAACCAAAATGATATATAGTACTCTAATTTCATCATATGGATTTATAAAGGCATTTAAAGGCAACACAGTAAGCTCACAATTTCCTGGCTTCTGTTTACTAAATTTTGGATGCAACAGACATCTGGTTGCCATTTTAGATCTGTATAAAATTCCACTGATGCACCACTAGGATCCTTTTATTATATATAACATCCTAATCAGGTCTAATGGGCATCATTTTCCTTGTTAAATGAAAAATTTATTGTAGGCAATTTTCAATTCTTCCTTCAATGATCTCTTTACATAGAATTCAACCTTCCCACAATAGCTACATTCCCAAGCTGCTGTTTTCACTGAAGTATCCATATATTTCCTACATGTCAGTTTGTTTGTTGGGGCGTCCTGGGATTTCATCTGCAGCAAGTGTACTTGATTGTTCCTCATTGCATGTAGATATTATCCCACTTAATCTTAGAAAATTATATAGATAATATCTATATATTATGAAGAACAATCAAGTAATTTTGACTGACTAATTTTTTCCTGCAACATCCTTCATAGTTTGTTGCTTTTTAAAATTACATTTTATTAAATTTCTACAAAGAACAAAATATTAAAAATATTTGTAATTGTATCGAAGAAAATAAGAAATTACTCTTTTTATTTTCTTTCTCTCTTTTTCATTTATCCCTTGCACTTTGCCTCTCCTTATTTTTTCTTTTCTTAATTTCATTCTTTGAGAAATTTAATAAAGTTTAACTAAAAAATCATTTATTGCCTTTTTCCAGAAATATGAATTAGCTCTACACACTTCTACATATTTGAAAGAGAAATTGCAACTGTAATTAGCACAATAGCATTGTATCTCTATGAAAAAGTTTTTCTGAATATATTACATGACAACTGGCAAAAATAGAGAACTTGAGAAGTTCTGCAGTGGCACGGACAATTGGTGCCCTAACTGCACTGAACTGAAAGCATATAGAAATTGCATTAATTTCATTAGGTGGAATAAGTATTTTCAGTTTCTGTAAAGTCATTACAGCAATTGTTGTTATTCGTGTTATTCATACAGCAAAGCTTGGAAATCTCTTACAAACAATTATCAGACCTGAACATCTCTTTACCCATAAGCAGTCGCCGCTTCACGCGTTTATCTGCATCAGCTCCTGCCGTAACATTGTTTTCAGAGATTTCCGTGGTCACTTCTATTCTTTCTTCGTATGGAAAAGAAAAGAAAAAGTATCAAATGGTCAGGCATGGAGTAAAAACTGATGCTCTAGAAAATACATTTTGGTTGAGAAAATAATAATCTACCAGCTTATCTGGTAACTTCAAAGAGATTTTCATCACTTTCTGCCATATGACAGACTTTATCTTTGCTTGAATTATAGGTTAACCCCCTTTGGGTTTCTACCCCACAATAGACCATGTTTACCCGGTTTTCACTTGGCATGTTATTATAACCCAACCTTTGTGATTTGTAAACCATGCTATAGCTTAGCCTATTGTGTAATCCCCGCCGGTTGTGATATAAGTAAACCATATTTAAGTAATCCTGTGTGATCCAGCTCATATATATCTATTTGATACACGCTATATAAAAGAAAAGAAATTATCATCAAAAATGAAGGATTGTGCAAAATAAGTTTTGTTTTATCTTGAATGTGTTTTTTAGTAAATATCTTTTTAACTCAAAAACCTTCCTAAGAGATAACGAGTTTCCCTTTGCTTATAAAATATATTTTCTTAGAGCAGCTTGTTTGGCAATCTTGATTTATTTTCTCTGCCATAAAAAATTGGCGGTGTTCTTTCATGCCCATGTTTTCAGATTATTCTTTCCAACTATTTTTAGAATCCCCCTGCTACTCTTATAACACTGATGATCTCCTTTGTCATACAGCTATTATTATCAATAAGCAACAAGTTTAATTTACATAAAGTACCTGATAAAATGCCTGATTATTTGTAGAATTCATCAGCAGAAGGTTGGACAACCATCTCTTAGGGATGCCACATTACTGGATTCCTGCACTGGGCAGGTTATTGGACAAGGTGATCTCTAGGATCACTACCAACTTTTAAATTCTATGAGTTTATGGTATAATGGCCAAACAGAGGATTTCTTGATATGTTGATATTTTAATCAATTTAAGTATTTAAGCTTTAAGGAGCCCTGGTGGCCCAGTGGTTAAAGGGCATATTGCAGTCAAACTCTGCCCACAGACTTGAGTTCGATCATGACAGGGTTCAAGATTGACTCAGCCTTCCATCCTTCCAAGGTTGGTAAAATGAGGACCCAGATTATTGGTGGCAATATGCAAATAAAGCTTTTACATTGTAAACCACCCAGAGAGTGCTGTAAAGTGCTATGGAGCGGTATATAAGCCTAAATGCTATTGCTATTATCAATTCTTCAAGTGAAGACACCAAGGTTCAAATTCACTACTTATGTTTGAAGAATATATCATATTAACAGCATTACAGTATAAATAATTAATATTTACCCCATCCTAATCTTTGGCCGAAACACAGTATATAATTCCTAATATATAATGCCTAGTTTATTAATCATATTAGTTACATTTATTCTACCGTTGTGACAAAAGAATTCAGGATGGCATTTCTAATGTTTTCAACCATAGTGAAGCTTCTAAAGTACTGGAAAAGTTCTTAAAATTCCAGGGAGATATTCAGAAAAGTAGCTGCTTTGAAAGTAACCCATCTTGAACTTTATACCATAGCTAAACATTAGAAGGTGACCATAGGGAATGTTTATGACATTTTGTATTATGTCACAACATGTTTCATGATGGTTTCTATTTCATAAAATATTTCATAACATTCTCCAAATTTCATTTCCCTGGATTTTGGATGCATTGATAAGTTAGCCCATTTGAGGTATCTTGGTTCAAAAATTCAATGCACCATTTTGCCCAATTAAAGGCTACAGACATAAGAGTTTTAGTAGAATATACAGTAGATATTCTAATATTTTAAAAGTGAATATTTTAATTCAGGTGCCCAACCCCCGGGCTATGGACTGGTACCAGTTAATAGCCCATTGGGAACCAGACCACACAACCAGAGGGCGAACATACAAAGCTTCATTTGTTCATGTGTGGGATTAGGTTGTGTGCACGAAAGCAGCCCACCCCTCTCCTCCCCCTGCCTGCTGCTGCCACCACTGAGCCAGAAAGGTTGGGAACAGCTGTTTTAATGGAAGTTTGTATTTTAATCAGTCAGGACCATCATCATAGCCCATTGTTATGTGCATGTGCTGTTATGTGACTAACCCCAATCCAACACATTTCTCATTCATAAGCAAATCTGGATTTTCTGCAATTTCTAAGCGAACTGTAAAGAAATCTATATTTTTACTGAGACGAATCATTCAGAAACTGTTACATATTTATTTACAACTTGTCTACACATAATGTAGCAGAAAAGAAGTGAGATACCAATACATGTTTTTCCATTGGCATGCACTGTGTACTCTGGATGACATCCACAGACAGGCCCATCTTCTGCATCTTCACAACTGTGCTGGCAGCCTCCGTTTCCATGATTGCAAGTCACTGAAAAGTAAAGGTCCAATTAAACTTCTGAAGTATTTAAAAAGTATATATCATTCTGAACTCCCTCCACCTTGAATGTTCATCTTTGAGTCCTATTTGGTTGTAAGTCTATGAGCTACTTTAGCAGAAAAATTATCTATCCTTGTAACTTAACATAATTCCTAAATCAACATTTATTAAATGCAAGGGCAGCAACAAAATTAAAGAATAATAGAATAACAGAGGTGGAAGAGACCTTCTAGTCAAACCCCCTGCAGAAGCAGGAAACTCTATACCAGGGGTAGGCAACCTTGGTTCTTTTATGACTCATGGACTTCAACTCCCAGAATTCCTGAGCCAGCATGACTGGCTCAGGAATTCTGGGAGTTGAAGTCCACAAGTCATAGTCATAAAAGAGCCAAGGTTGCCTACCCCTGCTCTATACCATTCCAGACATTGGCATTCTTCCTTTTAACAATTAATGTAAGGCAATTAAATGAATTATAATTTTTGTATTTATGAATTTATCAAATGTACATGGCTGCCCATTTTATAAGAAGTGACTCTTATACTATACATTATACTATACATATGATAAATTGATAATAATTGATATTATTAATAATTGATATTATTAATAATTAATAGTTAAATAACTATTTAATTATTTAATACTATACATTAAATTTTAAATCCACTGATTTATATTGTATAAAATTGATGATTCAATGAAAACCAAGTTATTGTAGTAATGTAACAGGCATATTTTCATTTGAGAATCAAACCTGATATTTAGAAATAGCACTTTCTTTCAGTCGTCAGCTTCCACTTAAACCTGCATAGAGTTGAGTATGATACTGGGGTTGAGGCCTTCCCTTGCCCCCACTCTGAATGTCTGTTGATATTGCACACATATATAAAAGATATGGGGCTTCAATTAGGACACTATATCCATTATCTTACAGATTTTGATATCCTTCTGTGGACACCCATGCTCTCAGTTAAACTGCATGGATATTAAATATGGCAATGCTATTCCTGCCTATTCAAAAATAATGCTGCTTAACTTAATTGAGGTACAGTAACTTCTGATAGGTTAGATTGTAGATTAGTTCTTTGATGAGAAAGTCAACCAGAAGACATAATACTGAATTCAAGATTAGACACCAATAGTTATTTTACATATCTTTGGCTACTGAATTCTATTTCAAAAGCTCTAGTTGAATTCAGTTAAAATTCTACAAAGAAAGAAAAACAGAATAACAGATTTGGAAGGGATTTCTTCTACAAAGAAAATTTTGCAGTCTAACACATCTCTAATGCATGCCATCTACTGCACGCTTCAATCATGCATACCATCTACCGTATCTGATAATCATTAAAATTATCACAAGGCAAAACAGAAGTGAACAAAAACCAAGTGAACAGTGAAAATCTTTTAAACCAAGATATGATCAGATAAGGGAAGAAAGATGCTTAGCAATTCCTTCTGATCAGAGGGGCTACATAAGAGTCAGGTATGTGTAGAATGTTGCATACAAATGCAGTCTCTTTGGTTCCTGGCCAGTTCAAATCCAGGTCTGCATTCGCAGTCCACTCCTCCTTTTGGCGCTTCTTTGCAGATATGGGCACAACCATGATCCTTATTCATGCAGCTCACCCCTTCTACAAAACAATCAGTGTGGATGTATCAGTATTCTCTGAGCTTTTAAAATACAGGCAACAGATTTTAGATATTTAGACAATCTACCTCATATGAAAAAAAGGAACAAAGTTTATATACTAAGAGTAGAAATATAACATTAACGACCTCCATCAAAGTTTAACCAAATTTATAAATCTATTATAATTTTAAAGAGAAAAATGGCACAAATGGGGAATTAATTGTAGATCAGTGCTACCTACACAATGTTTCATGGAATAGGATGAGCTGAGAGAGGTGGGTTGGAAGATATATAAGCAGAAGATGGATTCTCAGTGTATTTCAAATATAGCATACCTCAGTAAATACTTTATTCCTAATAATATATATATTCTTGAAGAGGGCAGACAGCTAACAGAACTCAAGAAGTTCAATAAACTTTTAGAGAATATCAACCTGGTCACTATACATACCAAATGTATATATATGAGTGAGACTTGATTTTGGTGGATAGGTAATTTTATGGCCAGTCTTTAACATGGACCAGGTAAGCATATCTAATTTTGGAAGATTCATTTACTGAAAGTTTGGTCTTTGCTACTGGTTCATGAACCTGAATGTAAAATTAGGGAGAAAGTCTCCTTGAAATTCATCCTGATATCAGCTAAACATGGAGAAACATACCCACCATATAAAGAATGAAACAGCTTGTTCTTTCTCAGTCTAAGAAATGTGTAAAAATTTCCTGCATCTTCTAAAAACAACATTTATCCAAGGAAAGAGAGCTACTGATTTATTGTTAGCTGACGAGGAGGGAAAATAATTCATTCTAAATATGTAGACACATGGAATTATCCCTTATTCTGTTTTATTTCTTCTAATAGACTCAATCAAGCAAACACATATTTCTTAAAGTCTAGATTTTTCTTTATTATCAGCATCTAATCAAAGGGACTTAAAGATTCTAACTCTTTGGGGATATTTTGTTTTCTAGTAGACATAAGAAGGATGACTATATAAATGCTTTAAATAAAAAAATAAAAAATATTTTACCCTCTGTCCATTAAGTCAAATAATGCACATAAATAAATATTTAATATAGAATCATTTTTATAATCTGAGCGGTAGGTGTAGTTTTCGCTGTGAACTTCCAATTAGGAAAATAATTATCTAAGATGGATCTGCCTTTTTTTTAGTATTTTGCGTATGCAAACAATTATCCCCATTTAATATAAGAAGAAGCAAGTCTCCCAGATCGAACATAAACAAAAAAGAAACAGATTCTATGAATTCTGGAAATGAAGAGTTTCCAATATCTTTTCCCATTAAAGTAAATCTTCAGAGCAAGGGAGAGGAAACATCTAAATCCACAGGGCATTCAAAAAGGTGCAGACATATGTGGGACTAATTTACAGGCTACCTAATAATTATGCATAATTCATTATGTACATCAGGAGCTCCTCATTCCAGCTTGAAAACAGTGTAGTAGTTAAAACAATGTATAATGCATTCCAAATCAAGCTGTCCTATCATTTGTGAATTAAGTTTTGTTTGCTATTACTTTCCTTATCCCAAGGAAAAACTGTGACGGACATCATGCTCTTAGAAAATTCTGCAGCATTTTAATAAGCCATGCTTTCATTCCAACATACTTCTTCTAAAGTGACTTTGACTAACAAAGGGATAGCTACTATATTGCTTTGATTATTCTGCTCTACTGGTTCCTTGACTCCTTTCCCACAGTGAGAAAACTAGGAATACAATGATGTCTTCGCCCCTCCAGAAACACAAAAGACACAAAAATCCATATTAAACCTGCAAATCACTATTTGGTTGTCAGTCCGTCCTTTTCTATTACAAAGGATCACAAATTAGTCTTATTAACTCTTCTGTTGTGTGGCATTTGAAAGGTTCAACATGCCATGTGATCATCAGTTAGCTAAAAGACATATAAAAAGCATTAAGAAAATTAACAGCTTAGCTTCTGCTAACAGCATGATTTCTTTGTGCGCATTCAAAAACCAAGGGTTATACTGTATAAGCAAGTACTTTGACAAAGTTTACTGAAGACGGTAACTTTTCAAATAGGGAATTCTGATTTACTCAGTCCTACATAAAGAGAAAAAGTTAAATTATTTCCCTGAGAGTTGTAGTGCAAAAGAAATAGCCACATGCTGAAATACTGCTTTTTACTAATAACAAATATATTATGAATAGTTAAATGCCTTTTGATTGAAAGAGTATGTAAAATTAAGAATTATTTTTTTCATATCAATTAAATAACATTATAGAAAAAAAGAAGAACAATTAATCTTATTTCTATAAAGGCCTTAAGTTTTGAAATTCAAAAGATACCACCTGTATAATGATAACATTTTTATGAGGAGTAAATAATGCAACTACGGTACTAATTAAACTAATTTTCTCTCACAACCTTGGGCTTCTGTAAAATGAATGAGAATGGTGCATAGCAAATAAGTAGTAAGTTTGATTTTGCAACTCATCATCCTCCTCATCTGCAAACACATATTTACAGCTCCTCCATATCACTAATAGGTTTTATCAATACAAGCAAATTTTACATGTTCTGAAGATTCCTCTCCAAAAACTTAATGTAGAAAATGATCTAGAAAGGAGTTCTAAAGCATTCTGATCAAATATCAATCAAACCCAATAAATGAAGTGTGACTCATAGTGATCCCATAATAATATAAAAGGAAATGTGAATTTTATGTCTTTTTAATTAATATTAAAATTGAGAAGAGTTTTGCAAAAATGTTTCACTATAATCTCCTAGTCAGTATCTTTAGTCTCCAAAGGGAAATGCCTAAAAATTTTCTCTTCAAACATTCTTTAAAAAAAACCCAACTTATCTGATAATTTGAAGAAGGATACAGTCTACTCAGACTAAAACGATCTGTTCTATAAACATGGCTCGTAGTACATGATTATTTAAGCAAGCTGTGACACAGCATAAAATGGGCCAAACAAGTCTGGTTATTTTTATCCTGGTGTTTTAAGAATGCTCATTGAGGACAAGTTTCAAGGCTCCATCACTAAGTACAGGTTCTCTGAATTCCTGCTTTGAGCCTGTAAACCACAGTTGCTCCAACAAGCCTTTCAAACGAGCATGAGAAAAAGAAGGGAAGAGCGCCTTCACCAATGGAAGAAGCAGAAGGTATAAATGAGGAATGGGTACCAATTCTGCGTCCTTTCTTCCACTAACTCAGAGAATGTTGACTGGTTTTAATGGCATACATTCCCAAAATGCAATAAAAATGAATTCCTAGCCATGCTTATCCAAGTCACTGGGAAATTATTGTCTAACGTATACCTGTCAATACAGTATCCGCATAATGTAATAGTTAAAAACAGGCAAGAGGCAGGCTACAATTTTTCCTTTTATCATCAGCATATCATCTAATATCTTTAGAAACTCTACCTACTGTATAATCATCCCATATTACAACAGAATTCAAGGAATTTGATTTTGAATGGTGGGGAAAAAAGGAAGGGCCTCATGCATGTTTTTGTAGAAATGAAAAGACTTATACCTTCTGAACGGTGAATGCAGGTGTGCTGATTATCGCTGAGAAAGAATCCTTCATTGCAACGACATTCATAGCTACCCACTGTGTTGATACAAGCATGTTGACAGCCTCCATTATTGACCAAGCATTCATCCATATCTGAAATACAAGCGGTACCAGTTTGGATCCAATTCCATGTAAGCCTTGTAAGCCACCCAAAGTTGCTTTGAAGTGAAATGGATGATAAATAAATAAATAAGTAAAGTTTATACCAGTTGCACATAAATAATCCATTAAGCAGTAATGAACTAAATATCCAGTTGTGGATAGGATAGTGGTCCTATTTTTCCTATTGCTCCTCTTTAGACTCAATAAAACTTAACACTACGGATATTTATTTTTCTAAATAAATACAAAGTTTAATTTTTTCATGACGCTGCCCACTAAAATGCTTTTTCTAATTTTTTATAATTTCATGAATAAAAATGCAGATATTAATGTCCACATTTTTCTTTGAAGCTTATTTAAAACAGTTATTTTAATCTCAGGACTAAATTACAGGATAATAATAATAATAGAAAAAAGCAAGGCCAGATCAGCATCTATTTAATTAAATTCTTTCTTGGTAACCCCATCACCACTGTCTATATATAATGCATTCATTTTTGCCTGCCTAACAATAGATATACAAACCCCCAAACTAAATATCCATAGATACTAAAGATATATATGGAAAAAGTATGGTTGTACCAAAAATACTTATATCTTTCCCTCCAGGCCACCTTTTATTTATTGTCCTTTGTCTGCTAGAAGAAAGCTATGGTATGCAGCAACAAATATATTTCATTTGGCTAAAATAGGAGAATAACAAATACTCATTTCACTCTTTGATGTGGAATGGAAGTGGGATTTGGGTGGTGGGGACAGGTAGACTTTCCATTTTAATAATAATAATAATAATAATAATAATAATAATAATAATAATAATAATAATGTTGGAAGGGATTTTGGAGGTCATCGAGTCCAACCCCCTGCTCAGGCAGGAACCCTGCACCATTTCAGACAAATGGCTGTCCAGTCTCTTCTTAAAAACTTCCAGTGTTGGACCCAGCTATGATTAGCTGAAATAAACAACTATTTACAAATATATTTTGTAATTATTTAAATCATGATTAAGATTAAATAAGGGTTATCTGATTTTGATTAACAAATTGTGATTAATATACAATATACATTTCTGCTACTTTCATAAATACATGGAATAACAAAAATGCTATTTACATATTTCGCTGAATTAGCATTTGACTTCTCTAGGCACATGATAAATATGTCAGTACATAGTAACTTTTTTGAGCACATCCTTACCAAAACAGTTATGACCATCCTGAGCCAACATGAAGCCATCGTAACATATACAGCGATAATTGCCTGGAATATTGAAACATTCATGGACACAACCTCCATTGAACTCATTATCACATTCATCAATATCTGGAGAATAAAGCAAAAGTCAGCATGATAAATGCCTGGTTGTTTTGTTATAGATAAGTTGTGACAGGATTAAAGTGTATATATGCTACTAATAAATGTTATTAAATGATTTCAACTTTGCAAATAATGTATTTTTTCAAAAATAAATTATCTAAATCTTCTCATGTCCAGTACTGCTTCCATTTTGTTTGTTTGTTTGTTTGTTTGTTCAGTGTATATAAGGGCCCATCTCACATATGTGGGCAGTTCATGGAGTTAAACACACACATGCAAAATATGAAAAGTAACAAAAAGCATCACTACAAAAATCCATTAAAACAATAAAATATATTAAAAACCATAAAATCATAATCTGCAGGAGAATGCAATCCTTTTTATTAATAGAATAGCCATTTGGTAGGCTCCATAGCACCATTGCCTGATCTTGAGGCAAGTTGACAAAAGCAGGTCTTTACTTCCTTCCAAAAGACCAATAAAGTCAGGGCTAATCTGATCTCAAGGGGGACAATGTTCCAAAGGTTATGTGCCATGGCAAAAGAGGCTCTCCTCCTAGGTCTTGTCAGATATTATTCCTTAGAGAACAGGACCTATAACATGCCTGTCTGCTGGACTTAGGGGACAGGTTGATGTAATCTGGGAGAGGAAGTCCTTCAAACAACCCAACTCCATGCCATGCAGCATTTTGAATTAAACCTGGAAGCAAACTGGTACCCACTGCAGCTTGTATAGCAGTGATATAATAATGTGCCGATCTAGGGACAAATATTTTGCACCAGCTGAAAATCCTAAATGCTCTTTAAGGACAGTCCCATGTACAGATCATTACAATAATCCATGCGGGAAATAATCAAGCCGTGAGTAACTCAGTACAGAGCTTCCTGATCCAGTAATAGGGGCAACTGGTACACAACCCAAGAAGTCTGGAGGATTTCTTTTGAAAAACTGCCCAACAACTTCTCAGCATGGTATGGTTATGATTCAGAGGTTCAGTATAATCCAAGGATCAAGCAACATTTATGAGTATCAATTACTTCTTTGGAGTTAAATGACAGTGGGCAGAATGTCTGGCTAGCACTACCATATTAAAGACAATGGTCCCAATAATCTCCCCCAGTAGTTTCATGAGGATGTTAAAGAGCATGGGGAACAAGACAGAATTCTATACAACATTCTAAATGCTGAACAAGTATCTCCCAGCACAAGCTTTTTGACACAGATAAATAGTAAGTAATAATCTACTGTAAAACCTTCATTCCCCCAAGGTCCAGTTCCACCATGTGGCCTACTATACAATACTATGATTAATTGTAGCAAAAATAGGAGAAATAGAAAGTTTCACTTTCTATATAAGTCATTCATCTTGAAGCTCAAAGCAGTCTTAAAGCTCTATCTTGGTCTTAAGCCTAACTGAAACAGAGATATTTGATCCATGCACATGAAATGGTGAGATTATCACCTTCTCAATCACCTTTTTTCAGAAATACAGTTCTTGAGATTGGCCTAAAGTTGCAAAGCTGACCTAAGTTGAGAGAATTTCTCCGATGTCAGAAGAGGAGTTCATTATACCAGTCTAAAATGCAAAGTATATATACATATATATAAGTAGGTATGTAAAATAAAACATGAAGACTCTGGAGCTCGACAACCTTTTTCTTCATATTTATCCTGGATGCTGCAATTAGAATGGAGTTGGATCTGCAATGAAGGCATACATAAAGCACCCTGCCTATTTCCTCTTCATCTTTGCTTATTATGTCCCCTGGGTCATCTTCCCTTCTTCAACCAATGTAATCTCTTATGCCTTGCCCTCCCACCCAATCTTAAACAATCCACCTATCAGCTGACCAGCAGTTTGCAGGAAAACAACTTTAGTATATTTGAATCAGCTGAAAACAGCTGTTCTCTCTCTCTCTCTCTCTCTCTCTCTCTCACACACACACACACACACACACACACACACACACCCTATAGTAGCTCTATAAATACTCCTGATCTTTCAAAGACCACTGATGATGTTGGTGGGTGGAAAGTTCAAACATCATTCTGAGCAAGATTACAATTGTTATTGATTTGACGTTATGAGAATAAAGGTTTATCATTCTGTATTATGTGTTAACACAATCATTATGGATTGTTCAACTAATCATTATTAAAATAATGATTTAGCACAATATGATTCTGTATGTGCATACAGATATTGCAAAGAGTGTACAAGTAGTCCTCGACTTACAACTGTTACAACAACACTGAAAAAAGTGATTATGACTGTTTTTCACACTTATGACTATTGCAGCATCCCTGTGGTCATCTGATCAAAATTCAACATTTGGTAACTGGTTCATATTTACGATGGTTGCAGCATCCCGGAGTCATGTGATCACTTTGTGCAACCTTCTGACATGCAATGTTAATGGGGGAAGCCGATTCATTTAATAACCATAGTACTAACTTAACATCTGCAGTGATTCACTTAACATCTGCAGCAAGAAAGGCATAAAGTGGGGCAAAAGTCACTTAACAACTGTCTTAACAACTAAAATTTTGGGCTCCATTGTGGTTATAAGTTGAGAATTACACGTATATAGAGTGTCTGTCTATCATGTTGACCAACTGGAATGTTTGCATGCAAAGAAATAGATCACTTTAAAAAAAAACAATGTAAAATACATTCGGATTTGAACATGGAATAGAATTTGAAACATTTTGTAACCTACATAAATAACTTTATATGGCTTGAAAAGCGGAAAACCGAGTAGCCTGTTCAAGTCTACTGGAAAAAGAACCTGAAATGTACTCACTTATAAAATACAACCAAGAGACTGTTATAAACCACGTTTTATGAAAGTGCAATGAGATAAAGTTTGTTAGGTCACAAAAATTGCTTGCCACGATATATTTAAATAACATAATTTTACAAATACCTGCATTTTGTCGCTATTATTCAACTAGACATTGGGAACAATCATATTCAGTCAAATCCAGCTTTAGTGCACTTACCTTCACATGTTTTTCCTTCTCCACTGTACCCTGGTTTACATGTGCACTTATACAATTTCAAAGTATTCTGACAAATTGCATCTGGGTGGCAATCATCAATTCCTTGTGCACATTCATCCACATCTGTGCAAAGAGAAACGAGAGTGACAATGTAATTAAAATCTACAGCAGTAGCTTCATATATGCAGACCACAACATTTGATCAAAAGCCATAGTTAACAGTATGACTTCTATTGACATCCTGGCACCATGATCACCACCCCAAATGGCATCTATAAAACTAAAAAAGTAAACAAAAATTAGTTTTTGTGGGTGAAAATGGGTGAAACTTTGATGGTCTGATGACTTGATTCTTTATGGGGAGGGTCCAAAATGATAACCGGGGCAATATGTCTTAGGACTTCTTTCAGCCTTGGGCATCCAAAGAAGTAGACAGAATACTTTTCCATATTGTTCTATTAACCATGGGCTTGATCCATGCCCTCCCCAGTGCCTTTGTTAGACTGAAGGCATAATTGAATTTGAAAGGTGACTAATGCCTGTATTCAAATCTAGGTAGTAGGCAAGTTGTAGCCCTATCTACAAGAGAAAGATAGAATAATTAATCAGTGGAATGACTTGCCTCCAAAAGTTGTGGGTGCTCCAACATTGGAGGTTTTTAAGAAGAGACTGGACAAAACCTTGTCTGAAATAGTATAGGGTCTCCTGCTTGAGCAGGGGGTTGAACTAGAAGACCTCTAGGTCCCTTCCAACTCTGATATTCTGTTCTGTTCTGATCTTGTAGTAACTCACATTCTTATCTCCACCCACCTGAACTGTAATAAATTCTACAAATAACCAAAACAGTGGTTGGTGGAGAATGCAGTATACTACCATGAATAATTATATCAATATGATAGACCCTACATTAACTACAAAGTGCATTCAAACTTAATATGGACCACTTTCTGTCTATATCTATTTATTGGCTTGAAGAATGATATCCCAACTATCCATAATATTTATTCCTATATTTACTTATTAATCTCTATGTCATCCATCTTACCAAGGCAATTCTAGGCAGCTTACAATAATTCAAAAATACTTCATAAAACATTAAAGCAATAAATAAAGAACTGTCTGTGGGGCTGAGTTCTGTACCAGCTGAAGCTTCTGGATACTCTTCAAGAGTAATCCCAGCTAGTTCACGTTGCAATAGTCCAACTATGAGATGACCAGGGCTTGAGTGACTGAGCTCAGGAACTCTCAATCAGAAAAGGATACAACTGGTGCACAACATGAAGTTGTGTAAAGTTTCTCTTAGCCACTTGCCATCTGCGCATTGAGCAGGAGTTGGGATAATGCAACTCCATCCAGAACTAAAGATGTTAAACTCCCAGAATCCAAGCTTCATGCACCCAAAACCACTAAGTCTTACCAGGGTTCAGCCAAAGTCTGTTGTCTCATATTCAGATCCCCACAACCTACAGGCACTATGAGAGTGCAGCAATAGCATTACTTGGGTCATCAAGGATGGAGATGTAAATTTGAATATCACCAGTGTACTGATGCTACCTCATCCCATGATGATGGATGATCCCACCCAGAGGTTTCATGTAGATGTTAAAAAGGAAAGTACCAAGCCCTGCAGCATGCCATAAAAGGAGCAGCTATGGACTGGAGCTCTCACTCCCTATCAACACCAATTGGGACTAACCTTGGAGAAAGGAGCCAAATCAGCACAAAACTGCATTGCTTAGTCCCACACCCCACCACCAGCCCAAAAAGATACTATGGTCAATGGTACTGAAGGCCACTCACAGGTCAAGAAGAGCAAGGATGGATGCACTACCCCTCAACAAATGTGACCAATGCTGTTTCTATCCCATAACTGGGCCAGAATCTTGACTGGAAGGGATCCACATAATCCATTTCATCCCAGACCCTCTGACGCTGCCATCCAACCACCTTCTCTATCACCTTCCTTAAAAAGTAGGAGACTGGATGGAAATTATCCAGGTGGGTGATGTCAAGACATGGATTTTTGAGGATTTTTTAAGAGTCCTGGAAACATCCCCTCCTGCAGTGAAGAATTTATCACTGCCTGAATTCACCTGCCTGTCAGCATCTTGGAGGCTTTCACCAGCCAGGAAGGACAGGGATTTAACTGACAGGAGATTGCACTGACAGCATCAAGGACCCTATCCACTTCATCAAGTCCAAAAGACTCAAACTATTCTCAGATAATTGGGTAAGACTTTCCCCAAACATCTCTAATTGATCTGTATCATGCATGGGTTCTAACTGGAAATAAATCCAAGTGACTTTATCAGATGTTCCACAAATTATTCTGCATAATCCTGAAGATGATCACACAAGCACTCCTGTCTCAGGAGGGACTGGGTGATCCTGAACAGGGCCACTGGGTGACACTTTGTGGACACAATAAGGATAGAGAAATAATGGTGTTTCACCACTCTTACCACTACAAGGTATGCCTTAATAGCAACTCTGTGTCCAGTTGAATTCATCCATTGCTTTCCTCCAGCAATGCTCTAGGCATCTCTTACCTTTTTCAGAACCCACAGCTCCTCCATGAACCATGGGGAGCATTGGGAACAATAATGGTCAAGAAAGGCCACACAGGGACGATCCTATCCAAAGTCTTGGCTGCCCTTTCATTCCAGGATTTAACCAGTGGTGGGATTAAGCCAGTTTGCACCATATCGGTAGCTAATTTTTTGTTGCCCAGCCCCAAAATGAACTTCCGGAAGCGGCATCCACACAGAGAACCAGCTGTTCACATATCTGAATCCCACCACTGGATTTAATCAAAGCTTTGGCAGGATGGTGCAGCAAGGCCCATGGGTTATCCCCTAGTTCCCTCTATAACAGTGGTTCTCAACCTTTTAAATGCCGCGACCCCCAACCGGTCGTAAGTCGAGGACTACTCAACTGGTGCAGCACCGTTTGCAGAATGGGACTTTTGGCGGGCTCAGCAGGGCAGAGACAGCCTGGACAATTCCTATTGGCTTTTGAAAGCCAATAGAATTAGACTCTATTCAAGAGAGTCTATTCTATTGGCTTTCAAAAGCCAATAGAATAAAAGGGAGTAGCACAGCTAAGGAAAAGGGGGAAAAAATGGCGGACTGCGTTGTTTGGCGACCCCCGTGAAATGGTCGTTCGACCCCAAATGGGGACCCGACCCACAGGTTGAGAACCACTGCTCTATAATATACAATTCTGGAAAAGAATGAATATGAATATGAAATTAAAAAATGAAGAACTGGGAATCCAAAAGTAGGGTCCATTGCCCTTCTTTTTATGGACTTCAAACCCTTCCCCCAATTGGTTAAGCCAAAAGTTGGCAATTTTTCTTCCTTTTGGACAGATAATTAAAGGCTAAAATGTAGACCTTGCAAAGACTTATTGTACCCTTTTACCCAAACTGAAATTCTTACCTTGCTTATATTTGGAATGCACTCTTCAATGTGCTTGATGTGACTCTCAAATGAAACTCCTTTTGAGGACTGATGATGGATGATATTAATATATAGTAATTAATGTTTATCAGATTTATAGAATGGTGCATTTTAACTACTAAAAAGACTTTAGTATCTTTTTGAAATAAACTGTGTTAAAACGAAGACAAAAAGCGAGTCAAAAAGACTCACTGGAGAGTAAAAAAAATCAGGATGGCAATTGTGACCAATTGGGAGGCGATTTGACTGCATGGTTATGATTATTATCTTGAGTTTTTTTATTCCACCCCATTCCTGCTGCCCTTTGAACTCTATGGCAAAGAACTAAGTGGACTTGTCATTATGGCATCACAGTTAAGTAATGCTTTCTGCTATTAGAATCAGTTCCTATCACTGACATTGCAAAAATGTATTGTGACATCACACATGTTCTGCCACTTTATATTTCTATCACAGCATTACACACATGTAAGCCAAGTTTATCTTGCAAAACATGTTTTGCCACCTGCCCATCAGCTCTCCTCAGAAAGGCCTGACCAAATCTTTTATCCTTTCAATGCCATCTGAATAGATTTGTAAAAAAAAATTCATTTGCTAATTCATTTACCTGTATTCAACTGATTTTTTTCTTTCTCTCTTTCACATCAGGACAGTAGATTTTTCATTAGCATTGTATAATTTTGTTTTTGCAAGCAAGTTCTTTAGGAATGGTTCTGACCAGCAATGTGCAAAATATCCGCTCCTTTCCACAATTATCCCCCAATGATGAATCATATTCTGGATATCATTATGCCTTTTGCATTTGCAATATGAAAATTCCGGCAAGTACATAAGGGATGGAATTTATATTGTACTACACTATTGCAAATGTTCCATCACTTAGGTGCCTATAGTATGTTACAAGGACTCAAGCTCAACTTGAAAAAGGCATCAACGTTTTACGCTCACACTTCAAAAAAATCTAGCTGTAAAGAAGAGGCATCAAATATATACATCTGTATACAGTATGGCTTGACAATTGTTCTATATATATTTGACAATATTTTCTTACAAAATATATTCAAAGGTGAAAGAAAAGCTATAGGAGTAGTAAGAACTTCTATATTCAATCAAATAATTAGGGTCTATTACATCAATATTTTTATTTCATGTTTTTCACTCAAGGTGCAATTAATTAGACTTATTATGCACTGGACACATTAGGTGAAGTTCTAGCTCTGATGAGAAATCTATAATGCCCAGAAAGTGAAAGAGAATAACCAACAGCAAGGAAAATGGATTTGATTATAGTGACAATAGATATACTACAATGTTACTACTACAAGGCAAGATTGGAAAAAAAAATCATCATCTATGTGATCACTAAAAATCAGTACTGACTTGAGGATATAATCATTTAGTTTACACTCGGGGAAATATTTTAAAAATCTTTTATTTTTGGATTTTTGTAAGTCCAACTAGGTTCTATAAATTCCATGTTATAAAAAGCTGTCATCCATTTACTTATAAAATATCAGGTATATTCTATGAACTATTTCTGCCTTGTACAAAACACAATACAATGTCCAAAACTGTCCCTATTGAGAACCTTCTAAGAGTTACTATGCGCAACTCTATGCATATTTATTCAAAAAATAGGCCACTGGGTTTAATTATGTTTTATCTTCAGCAACTATATATTGGATCACTGCTTTAGATTTTCTTAATTTCCATTTGCTTAAGAGCTATAGAAATTGGACTTTCCCAAATGTAAAGCACTAAAATGCTAGCACTAAAAATAGATGAAATGTCGAATTTAGTACTCACATGTCAAATGTAAGCACTAAAACAGATGAAGTTTATGCAAAAGCGAATGTAGGAGACCAGCTGATTTGCTAGATAACCGCTGCCCATTTCATAATATCCCCTAGGGAGGCTTATTCCACCCACATCCCATCTGAGAAGCGTGAGCCACAGTATGCTGTTTTGTTGCCACAAACAGACAGGTTTCCTCTTCCAAAATTTACCCGCGGGCACAATGTACCAAAAGGACGGGAACTCGCCTCTAAATGAGCACGCCTTTCTGATTAAAGGGTCCAACAATGCATTTGCCCAATAGTGCCACAAATGCTGATTGCTAGTGGATTCCCAAATGAATTTAACTTTTAACTCCCCAACAGGCAGGGGCTTCCCTGCCTTCGGGCAAGGGACATAGACAGACGCGAGGCAGCTCAGCTGCTCGACTCAGCGGACAACAAGCTCACTTGAAGCGCTCAGCCCGGATGGTATTAAGGGCGCAGCTCCGTAACGGCGACGCTCCGCAAGAAGTTTACTCGCGAAATGCCCAACAGAACACCTCGCTCGCCCTGCCTACTAACCGGAGAAAAGGAACCCGGCGGCGCACAGCTAACCTTGGGGAGAAGCGGTAAGTAGCAGGAACGGCGGCGGGAGGAGGAGGAGGAGGATGAAGAAGAGAAGCGCCTGCACGGCGGAGCAAGGATGTCCGGACCCCATCGATCAGCTGGAGCTGCCTCCAGAACTGCTGCAGCTACTGCTCTTGCTACCGCGGCTACCGCCCCCTGGGTCCGGCCCCGCGCTCGTCCCAAAAAAGGAGGCGTCTGCCGGCGGCTGTCCCACCCCGAGGCACAGCCTTCCCTCACGTGCGAGAGCTGCTGGCGGGGCAAGGAGCGGCCACGCGCCCAAGGAGGCGGACACCCGGCGCCTTCCCCCTTTTCCCGCGCTTCTGCGAAGAACTCGCGTCGTAATTCAGAAAGAACTAGTGGGGGACGCCTGAATACGTGTCTCTCGTCTAAACAGTAGCAATAGCAATAGCACTTAGATTTATATATCGCTTCACAGTGCTTTACAGTTGAGCTTCTGATCCTCCCCCCCCCGCCGATATATTTGATATAAGGGAGGGTTTCGCTTTGCTAAACGTTTTAGCAAAAGCTGAGTCACTTCTAGCCTACACAAATTGAGAATGGCTTCAGTCATGGGTAGAATAGCCTTTAATAATGTTGCAAACTGGGAGGGTGGTGGCAGCTTGAGGGTGAGGATGCATTTAAGTTTATTAACCTTTCAAAAGTTCTCCCAGTTAAAAAAAAAATCTGGTAGGTTGTCATCCCAGCTTGATCCTCCTGGCACATCAACAAATTGCTAGTTTTTCCAGCCAAGGCTTCTCTTCAGCCCAGCTTCCAAAAAAATACAGAAGGATTTGGGGATCTTCCTACTCAAAGTACACAGATTCTAAGCTAACAAACCATAGTCTTCAGATATCTGTTCCATGGCGCATTTTTGCTCAGTGGGGAAAATTTTAATGAGATGTTCCCTTATGATGGGAAGAAAATGATGGAGATCTCAGGATAAAAAGGAGGTTATTGGAAACGATAAATGCAATCAAAATCACTAGTCAGCCTAGCTGAATAAATTATAAGTTCAAGGCCTCAGTGCATGTTCATTGCAAAAAAAAAGGGAGCTTGGACATAACTACATTTTGTTTGGATGACGTGAGGCACATCATTTTTTTCTTCTGCCTTGTGCCGTTTTGTTTCAGCATTATCTTCAACTTTAGAGAATTTGGAGAATAACTGAAAGTCAGCTTCTTTGCAAGGACTTTACCTGATCAAGGAAAATGCTGTCTCTGAGGCCCTGTGTACAGTATAGCCAGCAAATCAAAAACTCCAGAGGTTCAAACTATCTTCCCGATGAGGCTTGGTGGTGAATGAGAAAAGCTAAACCTAGTTTTCCTTATTTCTGCCATGGATGAGGCAGATTCAATGCACAGAGTATGAACAGTAAACAGGGTGAACTAGAATTTCAGGTTAATGAGGGCAGATATGATATTGTTGCCATTACGGAAACATGGTGGGATGAAACCCACACATGGAACACACAGCTAGAGTGATTTAAATTATTTAAAAGAAACAGACCAAATAAAAGAGGAGGTGGAGTTGCTCTCTATATAAGAAATAACTACATCTCTACAGAAATAGAGCACAACAATGATGAAAACTGTCTTGAATGCATTTGGGTCAATATAAAAGGGGGAAAATGACATTGCCATAAATATATACTATAGGCCACCCAATCAAATAAAGGAAATAGATGAACTTTTTGCTAGTCAGCTAACTAAGGTATGTAGGAAGCACATAACAATAGTAATGGGGGACTTTAACTACCCTGACATCAACTGGCAGACTAACTCTGCACTAAGTGGAAGAGCAAACAGATTCCTGACAAACCTAGCAGACAACTTTGTCTCCCAAAAAGTAGAAAAGGGAATTAGAGGATTAGCCATATTGGATCTAATCCTCACTAACAGAGATGAAATGATGGAAGGTGTTGAAGCCATAGGAACCTTGGAGGAAGTGATCGTGCAATATTGGAATTCAACATTATGCAAGCATAAGAAATAGAACACAGTCAAACTAGAATCTTGGACTTTAAGAGAGCTAAATTCAATAAACTTAGAGCTTGGGAAGGATTCCATGGATGAGAATCCTGAAGGGAAAACAACTCAAGAAGCTTGGGAAATTTTGAAAAGTGAGATAATAAAAGCTCAGTCTAGCACAATACCAAGAAAGAAGAAAAATAATAGCTCTCAAAAGACACCAGCATGGCTGCATAAAGAACTCTTTCATAAATTGAAAGATAAAAAGGACAAGTATAAAAAGTGGAAAGGGGGACACATAACTAAAGCAGAATATCAGCAAATAGTCCGAGCCTGCAAAGATGAAGTGAGGAAAGCTCAAAATGAACTAAGGTTTGCGACCAAAGTCAAAAATAACAAAAAAAAGCTTCTTTCAACATGTAAAAAACAAGAAAAAAGTTAAGGAAATGATTGGTCCATTAGTGGGAGAAAGTGGCAAGAAGGTGACAAGCAACAGGGAGAAAGCAGAACTATTTAACTCGTTTTTTGCATCTGTCTTTACACAAAGGGAAAAAACAGTCCAACCTATCAATAGCAGTACCATAAAAAACAGATTAGAAACACAAGTTAAGATAAGCAAGAAAATGCTAAGTGAGCACTTGTCCAGCCTAGACAAGTTCAAATCACCAGGACCAGATGGATTACACCCCAAGATTCTCAAGGAACTGGCAGATGTGATCTCGGAACCACTTAACTATATTTTTCAAAGATCCTGGAGCACTGGGGAACTACCAGAGGACTGGAAAAGAGCTGATATAGTTCCCATCTTCAAAAAAGGGAAAAAAATAGATCCAGGAAATTACAAACCTATCAGCCTGACCGCAATACCTGGGAAGATTCTGGAAAAGATAATCAAACAACGAATCAGCAAACATCTAGAGGCAAACAAGGTCATTACTAAAAGCCAACATGGGTTTGTCAAAAACAGATCATGCGAGACAAATCTTATTGCATTTTTTGACCAAATGACAAAATCAGTAGATCGGAGGAATGCTGTGGATATAATTTACTTGGACTTCAGTAAGGCATTTGATAAAGTAGATCACAACCTACTCCTTGATAAGATAGAAAAATGTGGGTTAGACAGCATCACCATCAGATGGATTTGTAGCTGGCTGACCGGCCATACTCAGCATGTGGTCCTCAATGGAACTGCATCTACATGGAGGGAAGTGTGTAGTGGGGTGGCCCAGGGCTCTGTTCTGGGCCCAGTGCTCTTCAACATCTTCATCAACAATTTGGACAAGGGGAGAGATGGGGAATTCATCAAATTTACAGACAATACCAAGCTGGCTTGAATAGCCAACACTCCAGAAGATAGGCTTAAGATACAGGATGATCTGGACAGACTTGAACACTATCTAACAAAATGAAATTAATGGTGAAAAAAGTAAGGTTCTACATTTAGGCAAGGAAAGCCAAATGTACAGGTATAGTCTAGGTGGTACCTTGCTCAATAGTAGTAACTGTGAGAGGGATCTCAGAGTCCTAGTGTACAATCAGTTAAATATGAGCGTGCTGCAGCTGCCAAAAAAGCCAACACAGTGCTAGGCTGCATTAACAGAGGGATAGAATCAAGATCACGTGAAGTATTAATACCACTTTACAATGCCTTGGTAAGGCCACACCTGGAATACTGAATCCAGTTTTGGTCACCACGATGTAAAAAGATGTTGAGACTCTAGAAAGAGTACAGAGAAGAGCAACAAAGATGATTAGAGGACTGGAGGCTAAAACATATAAGGAACTGTTGCTGGAATTGGGTATGTCTAGTTTAATGAAAAGAAGGACGAGCTGATATGATAGCAGTATTCCAATATCTCAGGGGCTGCCACAAAGAAAAGGGCTATTTTCCAAAGCGCCTGAAGGCAGGACAAGAAGCAATGGAGGGAAACTAATCAAGGAGAGAAGCAACCTAGAACTAAGGAGAAACTTCCTGACAGTCAGAACAATTAACCAGTGGAACAACCTACCTCCAGAAGCGGTGAATGCTCCAACACTGGAAGTTTTTAAGAAGAAACTGGACAGCCATTTGTCTGAAATGGTATAGGGTTTCCTGCCTGAGCAGGGAGTTGCACTAGATGACCTCCAAGGTCCCTTCCATCATCATCATCATCATCATCATCATCATCATCATCATCATTAAAAACCAAAGTTGAATTCCCCTCTGAATTCTGAATAAATAAGGGATTAATCTTTCACATTTTTAGCAGATACTGTTGGGTCACAACAAAGGCTTGCTTGATATGTATTATCAAGGTGTTCCATGAAATGGTAAAATTCTCTGTATGGAAATACCTTCTGGACTGAATCTTAGGACAGTAGTATAGCATGATTTGAAATATTGGAGAAATACAGATGGATCTATACAGAAATAGGGCATACCATCAATAATTTTTATTTATTTATCCCAAAGATGCTTTTTCACGAGGCAGCTGGACTTCCTTGTTTTTCTTTGAAGATGTTTTGCTTCTCATCCAAGAAGCTTCTTCAGCTCTGACTGGATGGTGGGGAATGGAAGGATTTATACTCCTTGCAGGCAGCTGGTCACTTGCATTCTTTTATCAAGTTGTTAGTGCTACCTGGAGACTTACCTGTATCTTCAGGGTCACCTGAGTAGTGCAAATGGGTGTGGAGCCTTCTTAGAACTGTTGAAAGGACTGTGTTGTAGATTGGAGACAGATTATGTCATATCCCTCCTCCTCTGTTGAAAGAAGGCTGTTCAGTTTTGACATAGATGGCCTCTTTGACCCCTCTTTCAAACCAGTGGTCCTCTCTGTCCAAAATGTGGACTTTGCTGTCTTCGAAAGAGTGGCCTTTGTCTTTTAAATGCAGATGGACTCCTGAATCTTGGCCTAATGGGTTTGCTCTCCTATGTTGATTACCTGGATGACTGAGAATCTCCATAGATATTTATTTATTTATATGTTACCTTTATTATTTTTACCAACAACCCAGGGCAGTGAACACATTCAAAACATCTTCCTCCTCCTATTTTCTCCACAACAGCAGTAATACTAATACTAATTGTGGGATCCTTGGTGTCGCCTGAGCTTGGTTGTTTTCTTACAGAAGTTTCAATACCAAACTAGGCAACATCATCATTGTTAGATGTTTGGTAATGAAACATCTGCAAGAAAATAACCAAGTTCAGAGAGCACCAAGGATCCCACAGTTTAGTCCTGAACTATGAACTATCTTCTTTCAAGGGAATTCCAATAAATACAGAAAGCACTTAGTTTATT